CGGGTTCGGGTTGACCACCCGTTTACACACGGGTCAAGTTGGGTTCGACCCGAACCCGACCCGCCGACCCGAATTGATACCCCTACCTGCCATCAAGCTTCCTCCATTGAATAAACTACATTTTTTTAATCAAAACATCAACGCTTCATCAAATCAACAAAATAAATGGTCAAATACAAACCCTAATGCTACTATGCAAAGTAGGGAAAGGTAGAGAGGGAGAGGGGAGGCCGTTTGAAAAGGAAGGTTGCCTTGATCGACCAAGCAAGGAAGATGTTCATTTTGTTTAATTTTCATGCAAATATGCAACTTCTTATGAAGTAACACAGGATTTTCTCATAATCTGAACTTCAAATTCAAATGAAATTTAAATTCTCAAAATTTTCGCATAAGTTCATTAAAATAAAACACACAAAAAGTCTTACAAATTAAAAATTATAACATAAAATAAATATTGTAATCCTAAATAAATATTTTAATTCATATTTTTCATCATGCTCTTGGATAGGGTTTAGTCTTCTTTTTGTTCTGACTCGTAGTTGGTCCAAAAATTTTGTGTTGCATCATAATCACTCTTGATCTCTCTTCTTTTTGCTACATGAGTTTTATCCTTCGTGATCTCTATCATGAAAGTAAAGGCAGATACCACTCTCCTTGGTTTTGCTCACATCAATGGATCTTCACAAGTCTCTATCTGGGCCTTCTTTTTTTTTTTGCCCTGACTCGACCTCTTGTCTTTTCTGTTCAAGAGAACCTATTGTGGTGTAACCAAAAGAGGAACGAACATGATTCTCTGTAGTTACCAAATTTATTTTTCTTCCTACTCACCGCACCTCAATCAAAATGAATATGGCTAACAAGGCTATCTGACATTGGGGGTTTAGGGAAGGTGCAAAGGTGTGAGTTAGAGGAAATGGTGAAGCAAATAATGGAATAATAAGAGAAATCTTCCCTTTTATTGGTTGATCGTTACTCTTAAGCTTTTGGGCCTAGGTTTTCTTTCTTCTTTTAGTGATGAGGAACTAGATTATAGGAGGTTCATAAGTCTTTCATGCATCATTACAAGGTTTATGTATAGAATAAGATGCAGATCCAACTCACGTGGAAGCCTAGTTGCTTCCCCCTAATCATTCTTACTTGCCTTTATGAGGCTAGCAAGACAAAGTAATTGTATTGGTAAGATGTTGGTGGGATGGACTATGGAGTGGTCACATGTTTGATTAGTATTCTTGTTGTGGTATGGTAGAGATGTTAATATGCTATCAGTTTGAAGATTTTCGATCACTGAATGGATGTTAGAATGTTTAGTTGATATTTGTTTAAATCTAGTAGCATGCCCGTATTGTGAAGTTGGCCCTCATGACGTCATTGGGCACTAACTCGAAAACTCTAAGTGAATTGTCTAGGACAATTCATGCATAGTCTGATCTTGGAATTCTATGGTTGACATGTGCACTCAAATAGATGATGATGTTACAACTTATTAAATGAGTCATAACTCTGGCCCATTGTATTTTATAACTGATGGGAAGGTGGAGGAAAGGTTAATGTTGGTGGAGACTAAGGGTAAATGTCGACTAGTCTAGAATTGTTTTGTAGATTTATGGTTGTAACTTTTTTATAGTGGTCCAGTGAATGAATGAGTTTTCTTTAATGGAAAAGGGTGAGGACCTTCAAATCAGAGGTTTTGAATGCCAGCTAACTAATAGAAATAATTTTAGGTTAATTGTATATGTGGATATGTAGATTATTCTTAATGTTAGGATTAACAAATCTTAACTGTGATTGATTGACAAATCAATCTAAGGGGAGTGGGGGATATGTCAGGGGAGTGGGAGCAATGGAGCATCAACTCTTCGTAGCACATTGGTTTTGTAAGAGGTCAAAAACTATTTTTTATTGAAGTAATGGGGCTTGAATAATGCGTTAAGTGTTGTAGAAAAATTAGAAAAACCCTTAGGAAAATACACCAAAATTTCCTCCATAAAAATTCATTGAAGTATCACATTGGTTGACCTCTCAAGATCACTCGGTTTATGGAAACTAACTGTACCACCCTGTTTGAAAGATTAATTAAACCTATGATTATTTCTCTTGAATTCTTAATGTTAATTGTTCGATATGGTTCCAAAATAATTTTTTCTGCATTCAGAATGTTTCCTTCAAATTCACATGTTCAACCTCTCAAATTCCAAAGAAAAAAATTATAACTAATTGTCATAAAATTTGGCCTCAATGATTAACCTAATGAGAGGCCTCCTTGCTTGTCCTTCAACAACTCGCATTCACTTGATGATCTGCTCCTATAGAGTTAAAAGTATTATGGTGATATGAGGATCATTACTTTATATGTGTCTATACTCTATATGAGTGGTGGAGTATTTTGTAGCTTTAGGTGTTTTTTGATATAATTTTTGTAGTTAGATAACTAATAATGAAACTAATTTTAAGAAGTGAACATATATCTCTTGACAGTGGGTTAGTTTACCAATCTGAATGCAAAATGAACCCTTAAGATGGGAAGATATAATATCTGATGGAAATCTGAGTAGAGAATTTATCCGAAGAGAAAAAAACTAGCAAATAGGCTATACATTCACGTAGTTTTTGGTGGATTCGTATCCAGAGAATTGAGAATGAGTTAATAATTGTTATTATACTTCTTAAGTGAATATTTTCAAATAGTTTCAACAGTGTTATCACAACTTATATCAACTAATCATAACACAAAGATTATGTAGATGAAGTGCTGATGAAAAAGCAGTATCATACAATGATTAATGAGTCTTGTTTATCAAATTAGGAGGCATCAAGAACAACCTACTAATGTCATGCTACAGCTTAAGATGCTCAATCAAGCGAGTCAAATTTAATAATGGAGGTTTAGGAGTAAGATCTAGGCCATATTATATGTCATATGATAGACGTGATTGAACTCCTTAAAATGTATGTTAAATAGGTTGGGGATCTAATATTAAGACATTTTTCTTAGCTGGCAAGGATGTGCCATTCTTCTTAAGGAGAGAAGTCTTATCCAATACGCCAGTGACGCCACTAAGATCAGAAAAGTCAGGCTGAATATTTGAGGCCAGATCAAATATGTGATTCTCAGAAGTTATTGGTGCATCAACTTTTTCAAGTAGAGAAATCTTTTCAAGCCTCATATTAGGGAGTTGATCAAAATGTTAGACTGAAAACATTTTATGTGTAATATTAACATGGATACTAAAATCAAATTAGGGTCTCGAGTCATTTGATAAGCATAAAAGGTAGTTGTGTCAATGGTTGAGCTAAGGACATTTAATTGAAGACTTACAAACTGTGTGTTTGGGGGAAGTTCTCTGTCATTTTCAAAATCTTGTGTAGTTATTTGACCATATTATTGGTTTAACCAAAATTATTTCAGTAATTTTTAATCATCTATATAATTGAACCTTTCATTCTATCTTGTCAGTTTTGTCATACATACTAAACTGTAGTTCTCCCAATTCCCTGCCGTCGGAAGTTTAAGGAGATCTTTTAACAGATAAGAGAAGTATACTAAGGTTATGGGGTTTAGGTTATCCCTTGCAATATCTAGATTTTAAAATTTCTTTTATGCTTAAATATGTTAATGGTTTTGATAGTCATCCATGTTATATAACTTAAAAGAAATTTAATTGTTTGAACCATTCTAAAAAATTATTAATATTGTGCTTAGTGTAGTGTTTCTTTAGTGATGTAAGCAGGTGCATGATTACAAACATATGGTACATTGTGAAGTGCTTTTACAAATATGAAAATGTTAAGATGTAAAGATGGAACAAAGTAATATTTGATGATTTGAGTAATGCTTGACTAAAAAAATTTTTGTGAGGGGACGGAATGGACCACTTAAGTTTCAACCTCTTTGTAGACAATTTAGATTTTTTTATTGAGCCTTTTTAGTTTAATAAATATGCAAATCACGTATGTATTCTTCTAATGCAAAAGAAGCTAAAATTATGGAGCCTTTAAGAATTTGTTGGCATCTCTTTAAGTTGCTGATTTTTCCTCTCAGGACAAAATATTTTGAGTTTTCATTTTTTTTGGCCTTCATACCAGTTGAAGGCAAGATGCTTAGTAGGTTTCAAGGTTGATATAGAGGTGGTGAAATGTTGACTAGTTTAGAATTTTTGGGTGAGATCTCCAAATTGGTTTGGGATGCTAGCTAATTAACAAAGGTAATTTTAAGTTAATTGGATATGTAGATAGAAACTTATGAATTTTTTTGTATGGATTTGTAATAATAGGTGGATAGCATGGGTTAGGGTTTTATGGAAGCGATATAGCTCAGTTTAAAAGAGTTGGCTGGTTTAAAGCTTTAAGAATTTGGTGGAGATGTAGGAGAACAAGTTTAGAGAGGGAGAGAGATATGATAGGGTTCGCAAAACTTATATATGGTTAATTCATAAATTAATCTGAAAGCTAGTAGCACTAACACAGCTCAAGTTTCGTTAGAGATCAAAAGCTTTTTCTTATTGAGCAATGTGATATAAATAATGCATGACGTGCTATAGAAAATAGGGAAACACACAAAGAAATACATCAAAATTTCCTCTATAAAAACTTATCTAAGGACTATATATTGGCGGGCTCCTTGATTCTCAGAAACAAACTTTTTTTTTCCAATTTGAAGAATTCAACTACATAGTTGATTAATTATCTTAAATTCTTAATTTAAGTTTATTGTTATCACTCCAAGTTAGCAGCATCTAATGAGTGATCTCGTTTGCCCTGCATCAAAAACTAGTTTCTTAATATTTATCACAGATTGCGACTCTTTGTCATCCATGAGATGTTGTGATAGTTTTTTCTCTTTTTCCGTCATTCCCTGGGAAAAGAGTACTTTATTTGACCTGTTATTGCACGGCACATCACTGTGTATTGTATCATATGGTCTTTTTTTTTTCCCTTCTTTGTTTTGACTGTCCGCCTACTGAACCATTAAAATTTTAGTAATGATTTTGTTCCTCTTGCAGATTTCCAACTTTTTTATTGGTCTCTTCTTCTTGAGTGTTGTGAACAAGTTTGGTATAAGCACTGTCTACTTGGGATTTTCAACGGTTTGTCTCCTGGCTGTTCTGTACATAGTAGGTAATGTAGTTGAGACGAAGGGCCGGTCTTTAGAGGAGATTGAGTTGGCTCTTAATCCTCCACTTTGATTTTATCCGTTATTAATTCAAGTCAGTACTGCATCTGTGCTCATGAAACTTGGAACTGTTAAAGTTTTGAATTTCAATCTGTAGGAGTTTTTATGATTAATAATGTAACCCGTTATGATCACCGAGCATTTTAAAACAATATTGTAAATGGCTCATTTGATTGATCTAAATTAGGAAATTAATGCTTATTAAGAAGTTTTCGACCACTACTTAGACATTTGGTTGAGTTGAACAGAAAGCAGTGCTTCATGTATTAATATTGTGAAGGCATCGGACTAAAACATTTAGGCCTTTTTTTTTTTTTTTTGGAAATTTGTTTTTTAAGGTTTATTGGCTTCTATATATTTTGCCTTTTGATTATTTTATTTTTTTAAGGTTATTCAATTTCAATTTTCAAATTTTATTAAGAAATGATTTCATCTGGGGAATAAAAACATTTTTTCTCTACATTTGCACGTTTGTGTAGACTTGGTTTGGGATAGTTTTATTATGGCTTTTTACAACTTTTTAGTATAAATTTCTAAAAATATATCAAAAAAGTGGTGGTCATATTGTTCCAAATGAAATCTTAGTCCCTGTTGGTTGGGACAACTAGTGGACACGTCAAAATATATCATCCATCATACAGATGCTAGCCTCAGTAGGAGACCCTCAAGGCTTTTTGTTGGGTATTATATCCTATATATTATTAATCATAATAGTTTTTGCTCCTAAAAAAATTTGGTCCTTTAAATTAATATAACTTTTAATAGATCAATTTTTTTTGTTGCACGAAAATAATGTTTTGTAAATGCAAAAGAGTAGTGAAATTGAATCGATTCAGTCATAGCCTGGGTGCTCTTCTTCTTCGTCTTTCTCTTTATCATAATAGCCTTGGTAATGGGAAAATAATACGTATTGAGTAACCTGGAATAAATTTATTCTTCTAGATCAATTGAGATAGACATGAAAGACGTTATTACATTTCAAATTATTGGAATCGATTGTTCCACCTATTCCTAAAGGAACGATAGAGTTTTGAACTCTTTGTTTGGCCTTTGCAACCTGTTATACTAATAGCAGAAGCTATATTGTATTAGGAATTATGCCCCGAGATTTCATAAACCGTTTGTTCTATCGCTTGTAAAAGGTCCGACGCATTCAATTCTTTTAAATAATGGACTTAAATGTCAGGTTTTCCTTGAGAGAATGTGTGATATATGTCGGGTTGTATACAAAATGATTTGATTCTTATGTAGCAACTATATACACTCCCACATTTCTAAGCAGAGAATCAACTTGCACTATTTATAAATAATTATCCTCAAATAGTCGAATATAAACTAGGTCCTCCATATGAGAGCCCCTTTAATGTGTCTTTAACTCAAAAGTCCTATTTTTTTATTATTATAAGGGTCAATTGTGCGTGTGGCTGAGCTTAATTGAATAAAATTCGAGGGGAAAATACACAAGAACATTTATATAGTATACAATGAAGGAAATAAAAATGCTATTATGAATTTTTCTTGTTTAATAACTCAAAACTAATTTGATGATACAAATGAGCCTGCTATAAATTCAAAACAGGCAAATATACAGTAAATGTAGTGCATAGCCATTATTCTACAATAGGCTTCACACACACCAAAAAAAAATGATAAAGGAAAGAATCCCTACGACGATTAAAAGTTCTTCAAAATTTTATCATGTGGCACACCATTGGCCATCAGCACTGAAGTAAGTTCCTGTGATGACAAAGATAATGAGTTCAGATTTAATGGTGAAAGAATAGTCTCACGAGGCAGTTCAATAAGTTATATATATAAGAGACATTAAAAGTGGATGATTTATTGTCATCGGGAGGTAATCTAAATTTGATGGTTATTTTATTGATTAACTGGTTATCCACACACGTGCGCCAACTATCATCTTTCTTTGAATGAAGTCAAGCAGGAATGACACAAGGGACTCAAATTGAGTTTATAAATTGCTTAGACATTAAGTCATCGACCAACTGCTCTACAATTTCGTGTTCCTTGGGACTCACTCGGTAATGAGGAAGATTGGGGAGAACAGGTCCCGGAATAAAAACTATTTGGTGTTGCAGTGTACGAAGAGGTGGCAATGTGTCGGGTAGAGTATCTGGAATAACATCTACGAATTGTTGGAGTAAGGTTTTCACTTCAACTAGTACAGGAGATCTGCTGTTAGAATGACAGCCTTCGTTAAGTATCACAGCTAACAATATAGAAGTTTCTTTCCATGAGCTGAGAAGGGAGGATCCCGAGACTATGTGCATGATTGAATTGGATTTACCCGTGGTATGGCTGGAATCAGTGGGCTGTGGCAATAATCTTAACAATTTTCCCTTCCAATCGAATGAATTAGCATTGGCTTGACATTCATATATAACCCCTATATCAAATTGTCAAGGCCTTCCAAAATAATGTGACATACATCCATATCTAACACATTACATAAGAATTCACATACGCAGTGTTTGATAACCAAATATATAACACGCACATGTCACAAACTGGAATATCCATACCTTTTTTAATATAGTTGTGTTGAACCTTTGGCGCTTAATTGAAACCAATTCAAGCATTAGTCTATGTATGGTCAACTTGGGATCAATCATTGAGCCAATTAGAGTTAAATCATTTCATGCATGGCTTATTGAACTCATTGAATCAATTCAATTATTTTGGCTCAATTAGGTGGTTATGCTTAAATTCATGAACCTAACTAAGTGTAAATCGTTGGCCACAAATTCGATTTAAGGCTGAAATGACTGAGCTACGAGACAAAAAGCCTTCTAAAACTCACTTTAACCTAAACATAGGTAAATTGGGCTCATTGAGACTTAGGCTTCGTTTGGAACGGCTTTTTTATTGCTTTTTAAAACTGAGTTGTAGTACAATTTTTTTAATTTTTGTACTAAAACTCCGTTTTCAGAAGCAATAAAAAAGTCGTCCCAAACGAAGCCTTAGTTAGATAAGTCAGAGATCAATAGGCTAAACTTCGGAGTATTCACATACAATTGAGGGTGACTAAGTCTACTTAACGGATTTGCCATGGCCCGCCATAACAATTAAGCATACCTACAAGCTCAAAAGGTCAATTGACCTGTTAGATCCAAATTAGGTCAATTTTGACCAACATAAGTTAATTATCACGAGTGAATTGAGCTGAATAATGAATGCTCAAGTAATCCAGGACTACTGAAGTAAACCAAAAGTCAATTAGGGCCCAATGGACCAACCAAGGCCAAGTGGTCAACTAAGGCCTATGCTTGGGTGGCCAAAGATTGATAAAGCCACTTGAAGCTAGCTCGATTCAACAAGGATCACACTAGATGTGGATCAACTAAGACCAAAGAGGGTAAGATTGTTGACTCTTCAAAACTTAGCTTATTGATTAGGCTTGTATCAAAGGCCCCTAGGCTGAGATGGGTGACATGGACGACTTTCTTCTCTGTTTCTTGGACACTCCAATTAGATGACAAGCCAAAAATAATCTTTTGAGTATGACAAGATCCAAAAGATCCCTTTAGGATTTCAAAGATTTCAAAAGGTCCTCTAGTTTAGATTCATCAAGGTATTTATCGATTGCTTTGGGCTCATCACTAGCACAAACAAAAGAAATATCATAAACTTTTCAAATTATCCAATGATACAAAAGAAAGAAATTATTCAAATTCATAGGACTTATGTCAGCCTCTAACTCAGGTGCTTGCCTTTGCATGAAATCGGCATTATGCACCTTAACATACTATACAAGTGTCGCATTATGATTGGAGAGTGCACAGGTTGTTGGAACGTGAATTCTGCTAGATCGAGTGTTGTTTACCTTGCTCTAATTTTGACCAACTTGAAGGAGCCATTTTAGAGACATGTCAAACCACATAGACTAAGTAGAGCAGGGAGATTTGTTAGTTGATGATTTGCCTCGCTCTGTTTCTAAGCAATTCGATGCAGTCTTTTTGGAGATGTTGAGCCATATGGACTATGTAAAGCAAGTAGATTTGGTGGTTTTAGTATCAACTCAAACATATTGAACCCTCTCTAAAGCCTGTTTGAATGAGTTAGTTTTTGTCAAAGCGAGTGGTGATATGGCTAAGTCATTCAGATAACTCCTAAGCTAAATGGTTCATGCTCAAATTTAATTATTAAAATACTTTAAGCTTGTTTATTAAAATATAAATATAAATAAAAAGCTATTTAAATATAAGTATATAATAATTTGATCATTTTAAGTTTGAAATAACATTAAAAAATAATTAAATTAGCTAATAAACAAGCATCAACTGAGTAGCTTAATGAGACACTTGTTGAACAAAAAAATGAGGAGGTTAATGAAAATAAGTAAAAAAGAATATGTTCAAATTTATTTAATTACATGTCAGCCTTCTTAAATTATATGTAAGATGGAGGAATTTGGAAAGCAAATGAGCATTAGTTGAACGACTATTGAGCCATACGTCAAGCATATCGGTTCTTTTACAACCATAGTTATGGCCATGCAAACACAGAAGTTCATATCAAATACAAGGGAGCAAGGATGAAGACGCATATTGCAAATTCTTGTGAGGAATATTGCTGATTAGATAATGACAGTAGGAAAAGAATCTAAACTATCACGTGACTAATACTTGAAAGATAGCAAACCTCAGTCATGGCTTTGTGCCCACAGAGAACTGCTGCAGTTGATGAAGCATCTAATATTTGTTTGGCTCTTGAAAAAACGGCCTGCGCAATTTTTAGGATAATTAAATCACCAGAAATAGAATTATTCCTACTGCAGTCTCTATTTCTTGATTCAAGCTATTACCTGCACATAACCTCTTTCACCTTTCCAACTATCATCTGGCCGGGACAAAACAGGAACAATTTTAACCCCCGAAGACTCCCAATTCTTAAACCTATCCTGATGGAGAAGAATTCAATCCAAATTACTATAAAGAAACTGATTTAGGAGGGAAAATCCTTGATGGTTAAAGAGCTTCAATCCAAACCTGATACGCCATTCTTTGAAGATTTCTAGCTCCATAATAAAGTCTCACATCTGGCCTTTCATTTGCACTAAGACCTGACTCAATGAGAGAACGGATAGGGCTGCCACAAGAAATAAATAAAAGAAAATTACATGACTATATTTCATAAATTTTGCAGTATTTTGACGAAGAAATGCATATCAATATTTTAACTTAGCGAAGCATTGATTTATATTTTTTCAGAGGTTCGGCAAAAAGAAAATATACTTCATAAAAGAAAGGAAAGTCTTATCAAGATTTAAATCTTAAAGTGCTGATCAAGTTAAGCCAAAAAAAATGGGACTGATATTTCCAACATAGCTCACAAAACCACCATACTTTAATCAGATAGAAGGGGCATTAACATCATTGATACAATTACTTGATTCAAAGCACAGATATTGATAAACAAAAAATATTTTTCAGCATAAATTAATAAAGTTATATCTTTGAAATATTATTTTTTAAGTTTTTTAACTACCTACTTGTTTTGTTAAGTTCCCTTTTGGCTTAACTTAGTTATTTGAAGAACTTTGTAACATGTCACATTATAATTTAAGAGAACACAAAGAAACGCTTTAGAATTACAAGGAAAAAAACAGAAACTTAATAGAACATGAGAGAATATTAGTTTGAGCATACCCTTCAACTAAATGGCTCAGTTTAAGGTTAATAAGACAAATTCATGATTGATTTTTTTAATTCATGCATTAATATTAGCATAAGAAAAACACTAGGGTGGCCGACATTTTCTGTCATTTTTAATACTACCTAAATAAGTATTTTGAGGTCTACCTCTACCTTTCTTAACATAGGTCAAATCTAATATATCTACTCTCCTAATAGGATCATCAGATGCCTACATTCTCTGGACTAAACCATATAAGGAGACTCTAATTTTATGTGCGACTGGAACTGCTTCAACTTGTTCACGTTTATCTCATTCTGCATTCTGTCTCCAAGTGTAAAGCCACTCATCCACCTGAACATCCTCATCTCTGCAACACACATCCACCAATTACAATAGTTTTCAAGGAATACCTAAAATTCATATCCATAATACATTTGTCAAAAGAATATCTCATGAACAAACATTAATTCATGAGCATATTCGTATAATCATATATAAATGCATTTGTGTCTGCACATGTAAAATTATGTGTATTTTAGAATCATAACTACTAGAAGTAAAAAAAATAGTAATAATCTACTAAAATGATCAATGAGTAATGGAAATCAATACCCATTGACCTTTTTTTTCTACCAAGTGAATTGACTTGTGCCTCTGAAAATCATATTGCACCATCCATTAGTCATTAGTGTGCTTCACATGAGAATAACACTAGAAAATTTACTATCGATAATGACAATTATAAGTCTACGAAGATGCAAATAAACGCTATATGGAATTCAAATTAGTTGATAAAATAATGATCCATCTAAAACTTAAATATTTCCTATCTATAAATTAATAACTAGAAAATTAGGACTAGATTAAGTTACACTCTAAATTGGGAAGAATACTAACAAGTTAGAAACAAAAAAATTTTGGCTTTAGTATAAGCTTTAACTTATTTTATTTGACTTTATACCATGAACTACTAATATCCTGGAATCTTCTATGATTCCACCTCGTTCAAGATTCACATTCAAAATATTATATGCATATTTCCCAAACAAATCGTAATAGCCTTATTCTTAAATTGTTATTAGAGATAAGATTGTGTTTTGTTGTTACTGGTGGATATTTGAGATATTTTATGCAAAAAAGTAACATATATGTGCTTATTCATTAGGAAATTTGGACCTAAACCTTACTTTCTTAATTTGCCACATTAAATGTTTTTTTTTTACTCATGTTCTAATGTAAAGGGTATTATTCCTTATAAAGAAGTGACTAAGCTTTTTGTAGGAAATCATGATCATCACTTGCAAGTGCCCACATTCATTGAGGAAAATATCATCACCGATAAAGTGCTCCAAGAACAAAATGCTATGGACAATTTTCTAATAAGGTGAAACAATAAAACACCTACTAAGAACACATGGATGACAAGAGATGACTTCAACAAGAGAGAAACGGCTATTCTAAATAATTACTTATACTTCAACTCTTTAGAAAAGAGTTCTTTGGGAGTTTTAGGGGAATTGATGCAGCACATGAAATGAAGCATAAGCCAATAACAATATCCCAATTTAGTGTTGAAAAATTGTAATTTTATCATTAAAACTATAATTTGAAACAATGATGATAGTTTTGAAATTTGAAATTTAAAATGGCATTATTAGTTAGTGGGAAAATAGTTTGAGTGGTTGAAGCAAAGTTTCCTCCAAGAGCAAGGTCGACCATTCCTCCCTCCATGGTGGCTAAAGATGGCATCTCCCTCCCTTAACTTCTCTAAACTGTAGGCCAACCAACTTCCCCCATTTGGATTTGAATTTTAATTTACTTGTTTTGACTATAAATAAATACTTCATAAATTAATCTCGAACAAACTTTTGGCTTGTGTGATAATTTTCGAAAGGTATTCTCTTGAAAGACTTGGTGGCTAATTCCCTTAATTTCCTTTGATAAAGAGTCTAACATCTTGTGTGTTTCTTCTTGTTTCCACATCTAAGTACAACATTTGTTCCACTCCACTTTTATTCCATCAATAGAGACTTCATCTACTCTTCCTCCCATGCTAAGGAATTCCACAAGAGTTGAAGCCTCTCAATTTTGCATCCTTCATAAACCCTAGAAAGTCTCTTTCTCCCTCACACAATTACATCACCTTCTTGTTCATTCCTAACCCCTTGATCGCATTCTAACCCCATGGCCACATCCACTTCTACCCATAAATTACTCCATCTAGACTAACTTCTGGCCAAACACCCTTCAACATCCGAATCGATGCCCACTGCCCCTTGTTACACTTACACTTGTTTGCAACCGCCTTCCACAATTCATCCAATTGAAAGGCAAGCCATTCCACTTATTCCAATATCCTAGGTGAAGGTAATAATCAATAGTTTATCTTCACTGTAGCATCCAGAGCAATATCTTCTGCTAGATTTAGTCCAATCGTTCCAACAAGAAAGGTCCAATTGTTTAAGACCAGCTCAATAAAACTTACGTAATGAAGATATGTGTTTGTGTTTGGGTAAGTCAACCTTTGGTGGGGTGGGAAAGGATGGTGAGAGGTTTTTGCCTATGCAATTTCTGAGCAACTATGTATGATCTCTTTCTAGCACAAGAACTTTTTTTTTTATGGCATCACTAACAAGTTGAGTATGACCAATTATGAACGAATAGATTGCCTATGGATTTTAAGCCCCAAACATATGCTTTCAGAATGATTATTTCAATTTCACTGAAGTACAGTTTAAAATATAACCTTTTCAGTCAAGTAATGAATCACAACTTCTTTGATCTGCAAAAGCTTCCATCAACAAGGCAAGGTAACTTAAAAAATTGGTTATAGGATTAGTGATTCCATATACCTCAAGACTTCATCATAAAAAAGCTCAAGGTGAAAGCGCTTTTTCTGTCCAAAAAATTGGCATCAAAACGGCATAAAGTGGTTCAAAGATAAGCCCTCAACATAATTTATCATATTTACTGAACCTCTTCATCTATCATATTGGCATGAAACCTAGCATACGGCTGCAAAGCCAACGCTCACCTAATCCCCGATCCAGTAGCGAAGATAATGATTGTCTGTGCGTCTTCTGTCGAGGAAATCCGGTCGATCTCGAATCCTTGCCCCATGACGCCGCTCATCTCGACGACATCCCCGCTCTTGAGGCAACAGAGAAGGTCGGCAGTGGATCCCTCGACCCTCTTGACAAGGAACTCGAACTCGCCGCGGGCGGCAGCTAGGGATGGCGGGGAGGCTATGGCGAGGAAGGTGGGCTTGGCGTGGGCGGCCGAAGGAAGGCGGAGTTGGAGGTACTGACCAGCTTTGGTATGGGCGGAGACCAGATCGGGGTAGTCGGAGACGTCGACGGAGATGTGAAATAGAGAGGAATCCGAAGAAGCGGCACGGACGAGGGAGAGAGGGGCAGGGGTCCAGGTGGAGGAGTCCTGCCGGACGGAGGCGGAGGCGGCGGCGACAGCTAGGGAGACGATGCGGCGATGGAGGGAAAGGACGGGAGGCATGGGCGAGGTTAGCTGCGAAGCTAAAGCATGGGAGGGAAGAGGAGGGGTGTAGGCTGAGGAGATAGTGAGGAGAGCCATTGGAAGCCGGTTTGTAGGACGCTTTTGTAGACGTCGGGAAGTCGTCGCCGCCAAGGAAATCGATCGAACGAACTTGCTTCAAGTTTTTTTTTTTAACTTATTTTAAATTTTGGTGGGTTGGGCTGCTGTGTGGTGATAGATTTCTGCCACATTGTGAGGCTCTCTTATTATATTATTAATTTTCAAAGTTTTTATCAGTGCGAAATAATCTGAACTCTTATCAGTGCGAAATAATCTGAACATTGTGATGTTCATTTTTTTTTATATTACATTTAAAAAATGTAATTTCATCAGCTAAACTCTTAGTGATATAAATAATTATAATCTCAATGAAAGAATATAAAATATCACGCGGATCATATGAGCTAAAATAACATAACTAGCTTAGTGTAGCAGCAACATCGGTGGATTTTAAGGACGTTTTCTTATTTTGCTCCAACCGACCGCCATTTTTCACGTCATTTGATCGCGGATGAACAGTGCGACGCCAATATTGACATTGCACTGTTCATCTCTGCCATTTTGTTGGTCTCTACCGAACTTGCGGAAGAAAAGCGCGAACGACAGTTACAGGGCAAAATGACGTTCGATTGGAGATGAATCACGGCATTTTTCGGTTCCACTGCATTTTGGAGTGAAAAATGAGATTTTCGATTGGAGATGCCCTGAAGCTTAAAAAATATTGCTCCCTAATTGCAACCGCATTTAAACCATCCAGATGGAGGAAAATAAAAATGGATAAAGTTAATCAGGCAATCAACAACTGCTTCAAACAAATCCATAATAATCTATTTCTTCAAAAGTCTATATTAATGCCTGGAATTACAAGTTGCAATCATCTCATAGTTGCAATGCTTGCAGACTTGGCAACAAGGTTAGGGGGCTTGATGGTTGTGATCTCTCATCATGGAGGAGGAGAAGGGTGATTGTGCCAGATTCCCTCAACCAAGCAGATGCAATGGCGCCAGGAGACACAAATCGGCCAATGTTGAATCGTTCCAGATGAAAGGGAGCACCAATGGAGTTGAGAAGGGTTTGGATGACACGACGAAGAGGGCTAGCACCTGTCACTTTGCTGTGCTTTCCCCAACCAGTAAGAATGCTGGAACAAACATTTTAATGTTTCAGATTAAATATGAAAATTTTATAAATTAAAGCTGTCTACTACGTACCTAACAACTTGTGGCAGTTTTTGTCCTTTGGATATAATAGCGCTCATGCTAAGAAGCCATGAATGAACCATAGCTTGCGCAGCACCAGATGACATGAGATGCAGATCCAATGTAAACTCATTCCATGTGTTCTCCCACACTTGCCGCTGGACACCTTCAAGCACAACCTGCTGAGCTCCTCGCCTCTGCAAATGATGATATAAAAACGAGTAAAAACAAGTGCTTTCTACCCATTTCTATAGACAAGTCGGTATCAAACGTTATGATTCCCACGTACTCTATATTATGTTACTACACACAAGCATTGTAATATCCAAAGTATCAGGTAAATAAAATTTATTTTAGTGGAATTGTGATTTTTAGATTAGTGGATAAATTACTATAAAGTAAATATTAGTAATTATATCAAGAAATATAGTAAATTAAACTTTAATCTTAATATATTAAATTCCCTACTTCACTACAACGTTAATAGTTTAGTTACATTAATGAAATATCTGATTCCACTAATCATTTCACTAGTTAATGCATTAATCAGGTGTGACGGAATATAAAAAAGGGACACAAGTGTTGAAAACATAGCCAATTAAGATGTTGTTTGCTGTTTGTTTCCCTAGGATATCTCATACGGCTGTTGAGAAAGGTTCAATTATTGCATGCAATGGCTGTGATTTTTCCATCAGAGAATTGTGAAGAAATTAGGAATTCAATTGGGATGTGGGCCTCTATATTCCGATTGGTTTCCATGCAAGCCTTCAAACAGATAAAAGGAAATAGGGAATGGACAACGGGAGCCTGAAGAAGGAAAATATTCGGGCAAGTGCAGATTTCAGACTCTATATGAAAAGGAAGGCTGAAGGTGCGGGACTGTGACCATCTCGGCACAGGGTAGTTAGCAACAGCAACTCTGCTGTGAAGAAGAAATTGGCTAAAGGGAAAAAGTCAGTGAAGGTGGGAGCCATATGAGGGAATTTCTTTTCCTCATTTGGTTGATTTCAGAAAATCAGAGAATAATATAAATTTGGGTAAGTAAACTTACAATTAAGTGTAGCCAGATTTGCAAAGAATTGTTTGAATATATTGTTAAGATCTACTGATTTATACAGCAGTCATTAAGAGTGGAATTCTTTGAAGATATTCCAGTTAAAAGAGATTAGTAGAGAATTGAAGGAAAGAAGGAATTGAGGTAAGCAAATTAATTTTCTTTAACTGTTTTAGAGAATTATAATTGGTAAGGACAGTTTTTAAAGAAGTGTATACCAATCGTTATTTTAGAATTCATCAGATATATGCAAAAAGAAGGTTTTGGGATAGTTCATCAAAGGAAAAGGTTGCATAGTGTGGAATTGGAAGACGCGGTTAACCAAAGAAGTAAGTAATGCAAAATAAATTTTAAAGCAATGTTTGTTAATTTATACTTATATACTGGTAAACAACTTGACACATTCAATTAGTCTTCCACAACCAACAAACCAAAGGCATTGGCACAAGGTTGCTTCATTTGTGCATGAAAACATTCCATCTTATATGCATCTAAATGCACGGGATCTATCTAGTACGAAGCAACACATTGTGTTGAAAACTAGGCACAGTCATAAGCATCATCAGCACAGTCATAAACAACACATTGTGCATATGTGCTTGCACGCATATTAGTTTCACATACTTTGATTTTTAATATGATTTACATCCATATTATTCTTTTTTCCATGTATTGAGATCTCAAGTAAGTTTCATGTGACTTAATGGGCTTTGTGCTCATCATACTATGCATGTGCTATTGATAGGAAAACGAGTAAATCTTTGGGAAGTGTGACACATCTGAGAAATCATGCATGTAATTGTACTATAATATCATAAATTAGTGGTTATTGTGTTTATATAAACATTGGAGGTACCGTGATGATAAAAATTTTGATAGTAATTTTTTTGGGTAATGAAATACTCATAAAGTTATTATTTCAAAGGATAACGAGAAGGCTGATGATGAGTAATATCATTATGATGTAAATATTTCTAGCTGACGAACAAGTGAACAACCTTACAGATGCATTTCAAATATTTTGGATTCTACTCTACAACTGTGTAAATAAAATAATTTACTAATCATATTAATTATTATTAATTTGTATTATTTAGTGATTTTTTGTTATGTCAAGAAACGAATGTAAATCTAAGTGAATTCTTCTTCCATAGACCTAGAAATTTCTTAAGGACTTGTTATGAGATAATATGAATTTGTGATATATTGAGCAAAATTATATTGAGATCGGAAGAACAGAACAGAGCAAGAAAAGGAAACGAAAGAAAGAGCGGAAGAAAGTAGTTCGGTATTGTCCCGGTACAGGTTACAGACTTCTCAATATATAGAGACATAGGAAATATAATAGCGCTTATGCCAATGGCTAATTTCCACGTCATTAATACAATTATATTATTACATTTATATGTCCCCGCAAACTGATGGATCGGGCATAACCGTCAGTTTGTTTAGTAGAAGATGGAATCTAGGTGTAGATAAAGGTTTGGTGAAGATGTCTGCAACTTGATCGACGGTGGAAATGGGTAGAAGACGTATGTGATTATTTACAAGATGATCCCGAATAAACTTTTGATCGATCTCTATGTGCTTTGTACAGGCATGAAAGACTGGGTTGTTAGCCAAGGCAATTGCTGAGGTGTTGTCGCAGTGTATGTCCGTGGGTTGATTTTGAGGAATGCCGAAGTCATGTAGAAGACGTCGTAGCCAAATGACGTCAGATGTGAGTGCGGCCAGGGCACGATACTCTGATTCTGTAGATGATCTGGCCACTGTTCTTTGTTTTTGAACAGTCCAGGAGATTATCGTATTTCCTAGAAACGAACAGTAACCTGATGTGGATTTTCTGGAGTTTGTATCGCCCGCCCAATTGGCATCTGAGAAGGATGATAAAGATAGATTAGATTTTGAGATTGGTATACCGTAGTTGAGAGTACCTCTAATGTATCGAAGAAGACGTTTGAGAAGATATATATGTTGAGGTAGGGGTTGATGCATATGTTGAGATAACTGATTGATGCTATAAGCGATATCTGGACAAGTTAACGTCATATATTGTAATGATCCAATTAGCCTTCTGTAGATGGAAGGATCGGTAAGCGTTGGATCATCGGGAAACGCAAGAGGAAGCTTTGTACAATTCGGGTTAGCCAGCGGTTTGCACTCTGTTAATTTGGCTCTTTGCAAAATTTCATATGTGTATTTCCTCTGTGATAGGAAATAGATTTGATCCGTGCGAGTGATCTGCAACCCGCGAAAATCATGCACTTGGCCTAAATGCTTCATACAGAAATTGTCATTCAAATTGTTAAAAAATTTTGTGATAAGATCCGAATTGTCACCCGTAATTAATATGTCGTCAACATATATAAGAAGAAAGATTTGGGATTGAGCTTGCCGAAGAATCATGAGAGAAGGATCGGCGTTACTTTGAATAAAACCCAATGAAATAAGATGTGAGATGAACGTGTTATACCATTGACGTGGTGCCTGTTTTAGACCGTAAATTGCTTTATGTAGTCGGCAGACATAGTCAGGATGTAAGTTGTCCTCGAATCCTTTGGGTTGTGCCATGTAGACTGTTTCGGAGAGAGGTCCATGAAGAAATGCGTTGGCAACGTCAAGTTGATGAACCTACCAATTATTGTAAAGGGTAAACGTTAGAAGAATTCTAATGGTAGGAAGTTTTGCCACCGGACTAAATGTCTCGATATAGTCCACGCCATACTCTTGGTTGTTGCCTTGCGCAACTAAGCGCGCCTTGTGTTTTGCCACCATGCCGTTAGCGTGGAATTTGAGACGATAGGTCCATTTTGAGCCAAGTATAGATGTTGTTTGCGGTGGAGGAACAAGACTCAATGTTCCTTGTTTTTGCAAAGCCATAAATTCCATGGACATGGCTTTGCGCCACTCGGTGTGTTTGTTGGCTTCTGTATATGTTGTAGGAGCAGCTAACTGATCTGTGGAAGTGTTAGTATGCAAAAGATTAAGTCTAACAATTGGTTTAAGAGAGCCTGTCTGTTTCCTAGTCACCATTGGATGGTGAGTGGTCGGTTGAGACTGTCGCGTTTGACCTGTAAAATTTTGAGAGATTGGCATAGACTGTGATTGCTGGGCGGTGTCTGCAGAGCGGCTGCAATCGGCCTGAGGAGAAGAGACGTCCTGGGACTGAGTTGTATGGGAATTAGTAGTGTAGGTTGAGGGTGGTATGGAAATATTCGTGGAAACAGACACTGGAGTTAAGAAATAAGGAGATTGTTCGTGAGCTGTAGTTGAGGAAATAGTAGGTGTTTTGGAGAAAGGAAAATGAGACTCATTAAAATTTGTGTGGCGGGAGATGATGATTTTATTTGTAGTTGGGTCAAAACATTTGTAACCTTTATAGGTGTCCGAGTAGCCAAGAAAAATACATGATTTTGCCTTGGGTTGAAGTTTGTTACGGTTATGAGGAGGGATAAGAGGGAAACAAGCACATCCAAACACCTTTAGATGACTGTAGTCAGGTTTGGTGTTGTGGAAGAGTTCGAACGGGGATTTTTGTTTATTAACCGATGAAGGCATCCTTTTGATCAGGTAGACGGACGTTAGGACAGCTTCCGGCCAGTGCGTAAGAGGAATAGATGCAGAGAGAAGAAGTGTCCGAGATGTCTCAATGATATGTCTATGCTTTCGTTCTGCAACTCCGTTTTGCTCCGGAGTATACGGACAGGAGATTTCATGCTTGATGCCATTTTGTTGGAGAAACTGCTTTAGTGAATGATTTAGAAATTCTGTTCCTCCGTCTGTTCTCAGCATTTTGATGAATCTGGATGTATGCTTTTCAATGTTAGTTTTAAACGTAATAAAAATATTCATAACCTCAGATTTATTATGCATCGGAAAAATCCAGGTAAAACGGGAAAAATCATCCACAAAGATTACATAGTAACGAAAACCTTGGTACAAATCAACGGGAGCAGGGCCCCAAACATCAGAATGAACAAGAGAGAGAATAGAATTTCTATGATTAGCAGATTTTTCAAAAGCTAGTTTATGACATTTTGACTTGATACAAGATTCACAGATTAAAGAATCAGCAGAAATATTAAGATGCGGGTTGTATTTGGAGATGGCTTGGAGAGTTCTTGTGTTTGGATGACCAAGCCTGGAGTGCCAGGTATGCGCATTGTTGTGCTTTGCCGAGAGAGCCTTGTCACAGATCTGCGACGTTGAAGTGTTCGGAACCGGATAAAGCCCGTTTTTACACGGCCCTTGGAGCAATATTTGATTCGTCTTCAGATCCTTAAACACAAATACAGACGGATTAAACACAATCGAGATGTCGTTATCTTTAGTAAGCTTAGAAATAGAAAGCAAATTGTAGTGTAATTGAGGAGTGTGAAGAACTTGAGACAAGAAAATCTTACGAGTTGGGGTAGGTAATAAACCAGCCCCAGAGTGAACTATATTTACCGATCTGCCGTCTCCTACGGTGATATTGTCCGTGCCTTGGTAGGGGGTGGAGATGGACATGTTGTCGAGAGAGTTGGTGAGGTGAGACGTTGCTCCGGAATCAAGAAACCAATTAGTGGCTGAATTTTCTGAGCTGGCTACCAAAGCTTTATTAGTGCCATTTCCAGTCGCCGGAACATACTGTGGATTGAGGCGATGCCAGCAATCCGGAGCCGAATGTCCTCTCTTGAGGCATATTTGGCAGAAAGTGGTTGTAGATGTGGACGGGCGACTGGAAGTCATACTGTTTCTGCCTCTGGAGCGACGTCCTCGACCTCGCGTCGAGTATAAAGCAAGATTTGGATCGGCTGGAGTAGTGCTGCGAGCGGCATCAGATGCCAAGTTAATTTCCTCACTGAGAAGTAGAGGGTATAGTTGGTCAAGGGTAATAGGAGTAAGCATTGTCCTGATGGCTGTCTTAAAGGATTGATAGAAGTTAGGCAGCCCATTCAAGATATACATTATGATATCTTCAATGTCCACCACCGAGCCAGCTCCAGCTATTTGATCCACTATAGTTTTGATTTCAGCAAGATATTGAGACATAGATAGGTTCTTGAGAGAGATATTGTGCAGGTTATTCTTGAGTTGAATAACCTTTGATCTGTTCTTGGATTGAAACCTATTTTCAAGAAGTGTCCAGATAGCTGCAGTGGATTCAAGATGAATCACATAAGGGAGGATGGAGGCTGATATAGTGAAACAGAGCGCAGCTGAGAGGATTTGATCGGTGAGAAGAGATTGGGTTGAAATCGAAATGGTTGTAGAGGAGTTTTCGATTTGAGAAGAAGATTGATCAGATGTCGAAAGAGAAGGTTCAAGAAAGCTGAGAAACCCATATGCCCGAAAGATTTTTAGAATATGGAATTTCCAGACAGCGTAGTTGTCCGACGCTAGTTGTATCGGTACGATATTTTTGATGTTCGATACAACGAACTTGAGCGCCGGCGAGATCTAAAGATCATCAGACATTATGATGCCTGATTGCTCGCTGGGATGGGAAGTTGCCGTGTCCGCCATGGAGAGCCAGGCTCTGATACCATGAAGAACAGAGCAGAGCAAGAAAAGGAAACGAAAGAAAGAGTGGAAGAAAGTAATCATGTATTGTCCCGGTACAGGTTTAAGACTTCTCAATATATAGAGACATAGGAAATATAATAATGCTTATGCCAATGGCTAATTTCCACGTCATTAATACAATTATATTATTACATTTATAAGATCTCACTATGACATACTCAACTTGATGAAATCCGCTACCATGTAGGGATTGCATTAGGTTGGGTCATGTAACTTGTCCCTTGCATATGGCATTCAACTGCAAACACAAAGAAGAAGTCTAGTTCAAGCCGGCCCAATTCACCTTGAATCAGCTATTTCAACTACTCTAGGGATTTAGGTGTCAGTGAACTCAATGTCATGTGTCAAATATCGTAATGTCAAGAGTTCTGAGCTTTTTTGACTTAGAATTGGGCAAAATCTTAGTACAATTAAGCAACAAATCATAATTGATTACATATGATTTTTTAAAATCCCAACAAGATTAAAGGACCACAAGAAATTTCATGAAAGAAATACCAAAATGCAACTAATATTTGATATATCTTAAAAGGTTAATACAAAAGAAGAATATGAAAATGCACTCCAACAAACCAAAAATTAATATCACAAGTAAAAAAAAAGAGAACTTCTTAAAGTATCCACCATATCTCTCACTCATAGCAAGCAAGCACACATAAGGAAGGAAGCAAGCATACATAAGTATAGGATAAACCCCACCCTATCCTTCTTGAAAAGCAAACTTGATTTCTAAGTTAAAAAAAAATCCTCTCAAGGAAAATATAACAGTACAATAGAGAAAATATAAAATATATTCCAAGGGTGTACTTACCTGTCCGTAATGCCAAAGCATATCAGTAAGAGCATTGTAGAAGGCAGATGAAGTAGAATTATCCATGCACCTTACTTCATCAAAAAGTGATTGAGCACGAAGCCAAGCATCTCTGCAACCCATCAAAAGCCCAAATGCAACTCCATAAACAAAACTGTCAAACAACCGAAGTTGCTCTAGCAATAAGGATGCATCTTCGAAGGAATCACAACGACTGTCCAAGAGTTAAAGCAAATTAGAAGAAAGGCCTAAAAGCAATATGAGTTGAAGTTACTAAAAGATAGAAATGAGCCCCATCCTAACATCATTAAAAACATTTAATTTGTATGGGTTAAGGCAAAATTTGTGAAGGAACATATGTAAAAAAAACTTTTAGTGATAGTTAAAAAAACATTAATTGGAAGCAAAAACGGTATGTGATAGGGCATTATTTTCCTTTTTTTTTTTTTTGGAAAGCCACCGTGAGTAGGGAATTTTCCCCTTTTTTTTTTAAACACACACTTAGAGGATGTGTTAAGGGGTGTTTTCTAAGCTATTATTTCTTCTAATTTTTATTTTTTTATGATAATAACTTTGAATTCTTAAAATTTTGATTTTTTTTTCTTTTTTTGACATAATAGCTCCAAAAAAGCCCACAAGATTTCATTATAACCGCCTATTTCAAAACATACTAGTGTTGACATCCATGTGTTATACACAACTCAACTAGATCAAATGTGACGACAATAATAACAAATTAACATAATTTGATGACGATCAATTCAAAAAATAAAATTATAAATATAAGCGTAAAAAAGAAAAAAAAAACTAAGATTACATTATTTAGTTAACCCACCATTTCGCTGCTTAAGAAAAAAATGTTTTGAAAATTTAAAGAAAATAAACAATTAAAACCATCTATACCTTGATTATTTAAATGGAACACCTCCAAACTCAAAATGAATGATTCGGATTCACTAAATGTTTTCTATATTTCATTATTCTAGGCCACAGCTAAGTGTTTTTTTATTTTATTTTCCAAGCCAATGTTAATTACTACTATTGCTTTTTAAAACAGAGAAAACTAACTATTGCGCATGCTTATTTTAAAATTTTAAATTACCATTATTAAACTAAAAGATTATAATATAGAGATTTTATAATTATGTAGCATATTCTCAAGAAAAAAAAATGAAGTTAAAATCTCACGTTTATAGTTTTAAACCGAAGTCATTATTTAACTAAGAGATCAGCGCCCCATAGTCATCACAGGTCTATAAGTCTGAAGTGAACAGCAAAAAAAAATTTGTTAAAGCTAAAACCTAAGATTAACGTCTCTTTGGTTAACCAAACAAAAAAGTGATCACTACTATTCAAAATAAAAGCATTTAATTATATTAACTTTAAAAAGATGAAAGAACTTAATAATTTACAGCACCAGTTCAATCTACAAATTATTTTTTAGCAATAGGAATCAATTAAATTTCAATTACATTACCTTTAAAAAAAACATAGAATTTAAGAAAAAAAGAGTATTTTCTTTAAAAAAACAGGAAACAGCCAATCACAGTCCCTCTTTTGTCCTACTTATATTATTTTTAATAGCGCTCCTACTTCTAAAAAGTTATTTACACTCTCCATTTTAAAAATTTGCATTAAGACAATCAAAAGTGCTAATTTTCTAATGGCTTGCATTGAACTCTACTTAAACCCAACACAAAAAAGTCATCTCCTTCATTTGTTGCATCAACCAAACAAATCTAAAATAATTCAAATACGCTACATTTCAAATACATTATATTCTTTTTACACTAAATTTTTTTAGCAAACCAAATAGCCCCTTAATGGACAAGGGTAAGAGTTAATTATATAAAGTTCATTGAGGGCTCATTTGATTTCTTATAGCTGATTAATATATTTTAGAAAGTGAGGAGTTTATTTTCACTATTTTTGAATTCTATAGTGTGAAATTGAAACATCACTTTAAGAGAGTTTTGGGAAGGTTTGTTGAATTCGAAATTAATGTTAATGTATAACAACATCCAACCAAATAATGACTTCAACAAATTTTATAATTTTTCAAAACATGATTTCTAATGTCAAACAACCAAAAAAGAGCCAGGCATACTAGAGTTTGACGAAGGAAGCACTACTTTTGAATGCTTAAACTTAATTCATCAAAATCATCATTTGATATAAAGGCCTTTGGAAGATTTTCAACTTACTTAACCAGCGAAATAAGCCAAATAAGTGAACCACAAGGATGCATCAGCATTAGGATAGCCTAAAGGTTGGGCACATCAAGCTCAAATGCAAGACCAACGTTCAAGGAAGGTATCTATAACATACTAAAGCATAAGGTGAACATAAGCTCTAGAATATTCCAAAAGACATGGAGAAGCTTCCAGAAGACATGGAGTATCATCTAAAACCTAAGCATGATAAGGATGACAATAGAATTGAAGTTATATGCGGTCAAAAATCTCTCCCTCTCCCTCGCATAGGTGGAAATTTTCCTTCCTCTTAATTTGCAAAATTCAGCCACCACGTATTTTTCTAAACCAAAAAACTTTTTCTTACCTCTTTCACTTTCTCTCACTGACCAAGCCTATAATAGAGCAACTAAGAGTGCGACAAAGGTACCATCAAGGAAGTTAGGGAATATCAAAGAACAACAAAGAGCCACAAGCAAGAAGAGTCGAAGAAGAAGAAACCTGATGCGGACATCCAACCGTCCATGCCTATCCGAGGAGCTGAAGATCGACGACCGAGATCACTTTGTTTTATTTTAGTTTATTAAGTGTATTTTGATTTAATTTTGCAATTTCTCTTTTTTACCCTCTTGTCTTATGTAAGCCCAAGGGGCAAATGTGTCTTTTAATTTATTTTGAGGCCTATATATAGAGGCCCCGTCTCTTGTATTAGGTTTTATGTAATTATAATAAAAAATTTTGTGTTTTGCACTTGTGTTCTTTGGGAAGAACGTTAGTAAAATCCCTATGGGAGGGAGTCAAAGTTTCCACCAGCCGTAGGATGGGTCCGGGCTCGTGGCGTAAAGTCCCTTGGAGGAGGGCAACATGTCACCTGACAGTCTTCGGAAGAGTCTAAGGCTCGTAGTTTTACCTTTTATCTTTTGTTTTTGTTTTTATTCATTCCTGTTGTTCCTAATCGTCATCTTCATCCTCTCCCTATTTCCACCATCACGTCATCTCCATCTCCACCTTGCCGCCGGTCCTTTACCCGCCCCATTCAAATCGCCGGCCACACCCTCTCCCATTCCCCGGTGACTAATTTGGATAATTCCTAATTTCGGATTGTCATAATTTAATTGGTCATTGAATTCAAATTTCCCCAAATTTGAAATTCAAATTCTTTCATAAATTATAAAATCTATTTTATGAAAGTTTTCAAATTTTTCCTCCATTGGATTTTGAATTAATTAGGATGACTTAATTCATTCTAAATCCAACTCCCAAAATTAAGGAAGCTTAAAGCCTCCTAATTCCCTCCCTCTCTCACCCCTAGCCGCCGGCCACATCATCCTTCTCCTCCCTCCAAAACACAAATCACAACTTGAATTCTTGCCATAATATTTTCCTCTTAGTTTAGAAAGGTTTAATTTCAAATGTCAAAGCATTTTGAATTTGAAATTCCTTTCCTAATTTAAGAGATCTATTTTTGGAAAGCTCCTTAATTAGCTCCTATTTGAATTTTAAATGAGAAAGGATTTAATTAAATCTTTCCTATCTCATGAATCTAAATTAGGAAGCTTCTTTTAATTCTCCAAATCTCCTCCCTCTCTCGTATTACTGCCCCCCCCCCCCCCCCCCCCGTTCCGCCCCCCCCCCCCCCCCCGGCACTAGATTTCTTCTGGAAATCTTTCCATGTGGCAATGTCTCTTCTTGGAAAGAGTTTAAAATCCTTCACTGCTGTTGGCCGAAATTTCCCAAGGCTCATGCATTGATTTCCCTCCACTAAATCCTTCCCAAACTCCTTACAATGTTGAGTTTCCTACCTCCTAAGCCTGCAGCCAGAAAATTCCAGCCATTGCCCTTGCATCCACAACAACTGGAAGCCTTATAACTGCTGTTTTAAGTAGACCAACCTGCTGTCCACCTATTCCTTTCAGCCCAAACTGCTATACCCTCGACAAAGAAGACTTCCTTTGCAATTTGGCACTTTCCCAGACACAAAACAACAAAGTCTCCCATGAACCCCTCCCGTTCTACATCAAAACCATTATGAAGGGAAGTAGCCATCATCAAGCTTTTAAGTATTGGGCAAACCCCAACGAATTTCTCTTGTTAATTAATCTACTCATGTTATTCAAGTAAAAAAAATCAACTTCTCATGTTTAATATGTTCTAAACTTAGGTAATCCCGATTAATTTGAGTTGATTAATTTTTTCAAGCCTCCTTGAGAGTTTGTAAACCCAAGTTTTACACAAGATATAACAAGGATTTATCCATTCAATTAATCTCCTTGCTAGAAGAATATTTGCCTTATGTACATTAAGTTGTGCTCCTTTCTTGACTACAATTTAAGTTTTGTTTGGGACAGCTTTCTTACTATTTTGCTTATTACATCACAACTATAACTTTTGTTTGGTCATTGCTTTTCACTGTTTTCAATAAATTTTTATACTAGGAAGTTATTTTCTACAAAAGCTTTAAAAAAAGTTGTTTTCTCCACCGTAGTTTTACAACTACCTTTATAAAAAACTACAATCATCTCAAACGAACTCTTAGTCACTATGTGCATCCAAAATAAAAACTTTCCCTTATTATTTCATCCATTAAGAAGGCTAGCATTAATCTTTCTGGGAGGATTTTTTTTTTTTTTTAATCTTTCTGGGAGGATATAGATCATAGTTTGGTATCATAACATAGAACCTTAACTATTGATTATGACGGCTGAAAGTAGGTTTAGAAAATTAAAATCTAATCATAGGTGAGATTTCAAAAGTCTTGGTCAAGTGTTTTAAAACTTCCTATCAACTTACAAAAGGCTGGAAAGAAAAAGATAAAACTATAGGGATTATTTGCACAATTACTAGACCAAGCATCCTTGCAATATCCATTGAAGATAACAATTCTCCCAGACATGGAAGTTCTTAATACATGTAAGAGCCCCAGAGGAAAACAAAATGATCCAAATGATCATGCTAAAAATTCATAAGATGGATATGATGTAAAAGAAATGGATGCCAAGGTAACTAGACAATTAGAAGATGAAGACAAAAAGGACATAGAAAATTGTAATAGCTACAACTAAGCAACACAGGTAGAAACTATTTTAGAGAAGAAAGTTATAATTAATGGCCCACGTATGCAAGAACAAATTATCTTTAAAGAGAGGGTTAGGGTCCATGAAGATCAAGCCACAAAAGCGCATGGAACATCAAAAAATGTCTATTACAATTAATAAAAAAATGAGTAGCAATTTGTCATAATGGGTCGATCACACCAATTAAAGGACTACAACACACTACAAAAATTTAAAGGCATCACCTTAGCACCAATTTGAGTTGAGCAAGCCTTCACTAATTAGCTGCTTTGGGCAAAACCCATATGTTAAGAGTAGGAAAAAATCAAATTAGGAATGTTATATATATGTATAATCAATGGTATATTTTTTTAATTCATTAGAATATTGCATTCATTCCTCTATTTATAATAAAAAGGTTGTCTTAATGAATAGTAAAAAGAAGACTATTTTCCCCTTTGACATGTTATAAGAGCAAGGTTAGCCTAACGCCAAATACCATCAAACATGCACTTAACCTTTCCCCACAGGACCTCGCCCGTGCTCGAGGCTTTCCATTTCCCTCCTCTACCATCCCACACACAGCACACCAAGCACCGAGCCCACCCTATACCCGCACCTTTACCCTAAGCCCAATATTTCCTCTTTGCACCTACACCTTTACCTTCACTTGCGGTTGCATCCTCATCCACACCCAATCCCACACATTGTTGCTATCATTTTATCTTTGTTGTCATTAAGCCATCGCTAGTGTACACAAATGCAGTCATGCAAAACTTCACTTGTTGTCATTGTTGCACTCACAATAGCTTGCCTAACCCCTAAGCCATGTTGTCTCCAACAACAACAATTTCTTAGATCTATGATTGTTTAAATGATTCTCTTTACTCTTGGCAGTGTTCACCCTTGGCCTCCTCTACTCATTTCTCCTAGAAGAAACCCTTATCTATAATTGGCAACTTAATAAAATTTAGTAGTAACAACTATATTATGCAGTTTAGGGCTTTTTATTTTCTCATGGGATCGCATGAAAAACTTAGTTATCTATAATCTACACTTCTTAAACAAACAAACACCATCAAATGCATCAAATAGCAAGCTTTTTTGTATGTTGCTCTCACATGTATGCCCTACAACCTTGAACGCATTATTACATCTACTGTAATGTTTTAAGAGATCATCAAGGAATGTTAGACTTTCTCCATTTCACCTACTTTCTTTAGAATATACACTCTCTACTCTGATCATTCTCTTTAAAGCATGGTGCCAAATTTCTTTAGCAGTGTTGCAATGCCTAGAAAGATAAATATAATTAAAATATAATATCAGTCATTACCAGAGATCCAACTACTTGGCAAAAATTAATGAGTTTCTAGTTGCTAAATTCCTCTCCAAGTGTCATACATCACTAATATGTTCAAAATCAATTGACAATTGTCACGGCCCGGCCCAGAAACTTGATTTAATGAGACGGGAACGAACAGTCAATACATTTTTCCACAATTACACATAATAGTAAGGACTAATATTTCTCAAACACAGAAGATCTAATAACACTACTTATATATTGAATATGCATTTAAACATAAACACATATTGCCTACTTTCATTTGAGCATCGTCTTCTATAGACGTGCTCCTCTCTTTCAGTCATTTTCACTTATCAAGAGACTTATCTAAAAATATTAGTTTAATAGAGTGAGTTTACAAAATAAACTTAGTGGGTAATTATTCTTATAACATAACAAGTATACATAAAAAATACATAATGAATTATATGCATTTTTATCTTTCTTTTCATCTAACATATACATAATAACATAAATATATCAATTCATATGGGTTAGATATTTATTATACATTTGTCCAATAACATATTCCTTTTTCATATTAATATCCATCCATCTTTCATTTTCTCATTTATATATTTCTCTTTTTTATTTAGTAAAGAGCACCGTTTAAATGTATCAATAAAAGTACAACAATTTTCATTTTCATTTAACATGCATGCACGGATACGTTGCTTCCCCAACTAGTACCATACGGGAATGAATTCCTGTAATTTGCATGCATGTATCTTTTCCTCTTTTATTACTTTCATTTTTTATAGAATTCACTACACGTACATACATTATACTATAATCTTAGTCATTCAATAATTCTCAAGATTATTGCATATTTAACATTTAAATATCATCCATACAATGATAATTCCGTATAATTATAATTCACATTTAAACTTTCTTTATTATTTCAATTAATTCTTATAACATGCTATAATTGCAATAATTAAATAAATTGTAATAACATAAAGAAAAGAATCTAAAATTTCCATAAAATAATTATGCTATAATTACTCACTTTGAATATTTTTTGTATGTTCAGATTCCTTCCAAATCTTTGATTCTCTGAAATATACCTCCAATATTCATCTTAGTATGAAAATCTTTCATTGTTCAAAATAACACAAATTACTTTAACCATTTTCAAAGAGGGCTTTTTTACTAATTAATCCACATTACATAATATTAAAGGCCATAAATTCTTCCACAATCTCAATTCCACTTTCAAGGGATCTTTCCTTCCTTCACTGCAAATTGACTTCTTTCACTGTCAGATCTAAGCTTACTATAATTGGATTCTTCCTAAAACAATAATATTTCTTCAATTAGGAGAATTATAAAATTTTCTCTCTCAATGTGAAATGAAAAAAATAAGAAAGGGAATTTACTTACACTTTCTTATGAAGGAATTTTCCAAATCCAAACACTTCCTCTTTCAAGTTAGATTTTATTCTTTTCTGAAATCATATACTATTATTACCATTATAATAAATTTTATGATTTCTACCTTCAAAATTCAAACACTAAATAAATATGATTGAAATTACTTGCAAAGAAAAATTTTCCAACATAAAATCATTCTTCTTTCTCTCTCAAGTTCTCTTCCTTTACCTTTAAAAGAGATATGAATCATTTCTTAAGTTTAAATCGCGAAAAAATTTCACACAAAGTGAACAAAATTGAAAAATAGCATACCTTCCTTCTCCTTCTTCCTCTCAATCGTTTCTCTCGGCTTCACTTATTTTGCGGTAATGAGAGGAGGGAGTTATTCTTCGTGAGGAGTCGTCTGATTTTATTTCCTGAACTCAAACCTTCGCTCGGAATCGAAAACCACCCCTTCCAGCCCGACCTAAGCTCGCGTGTGGTTCGCCTAGGCCGCGGCTCTACTCGATTCCATTTTTCTGTTTCGCGTGACTTAATTAATAGGAGTTGGGCGGTTGAATTGTATAGTTGTCATTTCCCAAGAGGAATATGACCATTTCAGCTTTTATTTCCTTCTTTGACTTGGATGCAATTGCTCATTATGGTTTGTTAGATTGGAGTACTTCTCATATGGAATGTAACCAATAATTATTTTCATCGTTTACCACAACATAAATTCCCTTTGTCAAGGCTCTCTTCCTCTGATTGATGGAAAAGGATCAAGCAATCCCTCCTCTTCATAACATTAGATAATATTTTATGTCTCACATTTTTGGATAAATCTTATACCTCCAATATTCATCTTAGTATGAAAATCTTTCATTGTTTAAAATAACACAAATTACTTTAACCATTTTCAAAGAGGGCTTTTTTACTAATTAATCCACATTACATAATATTAAAGGCCATAAATTCTTCCACAATCTCAATTACACTTTCTATCATTATCTTCTAACAAAATATGTGATTAAACTCTTCACAATTAAATAATTACCTCAAGGAATCTTCCCTTCTTTCAACAGATCTTTCCTTCACTGCAAATTGACTTCTTTCACTCGGATCTAAGCTTACTATAATTGGATTCTTCCTACAACAATAATATTTCTTCAATTAGGAGAATTATAAATTTTCTCTCTCAATGTGAAATGAAAAAAATAAGAAAGGGAATTTACTTACACTTTCTTATGAAGGAATTTTCCAAATCCAAACACTTCCTCTTTCAAGTTAGATTTTCTTCTTTTCTGAAATCATATACTATTATTACCATTATAATAAATTTTATCTACCTTCAAAATTCGACACAATGGAGAAAAAGGATTCATGTAGCCGACCCCACGTAGTGGGATAAAGACTTGATGTTGTTGTTGTTGTTGTCAAAATTCGAACAAGAAATAAATATGATTGAAATTGCTTACAAAGAAAAATTTTCCAACATAAAATCATTCTTCTTTCTCTCTCAATCTTCCTTTACCTTTAAAAGAGATATGAATCGTTTCTTAAGTTTAAATCGTGAAGAAATTTCACACAAAGTGAACGAAATTGAAAAATAGCATACCTTCCTTCTCCTTCTTCCTCTCAGTCGTTTCTCTCGATTTCGCTTATTTTGCGGTAATGAGTGAAGAGGAGGGAGTTATTCTTCATGAGTAGTAGTCTGATTTTATTTCCCGAACTCAAACCTTCGCTCGGAATCGAAAACCACCCCTTCCAACCCCGTCTAAGCTCGCGTGTGGTTCACCTAGGCCGCGGCTCTACTCGGTTCCATTTTTCTGTTTCACGTGACTTAATTAACAGGAGTTGGGCAGTTGAATTGTATAATTGTCATTTCCCAAGAGGAATATGATCATTTCAGCTTGTATTTCCTCCTTTGACTTGGATGAAATTGCTCATTATGGTTTGTTAGATTGGAGTACTTCTCATATGGAATGTAACCAATAATTATTTTCATCGTTTACCACAACATAAATTCCCTTTGTCAAGGCTCTCTTCCTCTGATTGATGGAAAAGGATCAAGCAATCCCTCCTCTTCATAACATTAGATAATATTTTATGTCTCACATTTTTGGATAAATCTTTTGTCCGTGCACTGTATCACCAAATTTGATAATTTTTTAAAAGCTTTTTCCTTCATGCTATGTTTTTCAAGACCTCAGTATGAACAAAATAATTGGTGTATGAGTTTAGGTTTGAGATAATTATTATCCCACTGAAATTATTTCATTGTCATATCATCCTCCTTTATTTTTCTTTATCTGTGGCACCATCATCAGGGTCACCATTTTAAGGGCTTCACTAATATACAATTCTTTGTTTTAAAAATTGAATATGAAGCTTACAAATATGGAAAACATCATCACGTTCCCTTTCCCTCATCATCCCCTTGACATAATATTGGGCCTTTTCACTTGGTACATTCTGATAACTACGGATTAAGGCATAAGCAGGGTTTATATTATTTCATTTCCATCATTGATGATCACAACAAGTTTATGTGTGTTTATTTGTTGAAGTAATGATCAAAAAACTTCTCTATATTATAACTATTTCATCCAAAAGCGAAAGTACAACTTCTAATCAAAATAAATCCATTTATATTGATAATACCCTTAAATATATGCAATCAATTTTGAGTATTATTCACCAACCATCATGTTCATATACATCTCAACAAAATAAAGTAGCCAAATATAAGCATTAAACATCTTGACAATGTAACTAACACCTCAATGTTTCACAAGCATGTTAGCTGATAAGTAGAAAAATTGCATACTTTAAATTGCATATGTTTGTTATAAAGTGCTAGATAAATATATCTTTTGGTGTAGGAATAGGTTAAAATTTTTTAAAACTACCTCAGCGCTACAGCGCTACAACTTCCCCAAGCGCCACAGCGCCACCGTTCGGCACTGCAGCAATGAGGTCTCAGATGAATGCTTGAAAGCATAGTGCCAAGGCGCTACTTGGGGATCGCCCCAGCTAGGGGTGCAACAGAGCCGAGTCAGCTGAAACTAGACTTGCTAACGAGCTTGCGAGTTGAGTTTATCGAGCCTCGATCTTGAGCTCAAACTCAAGATCGTGTATTAAATGAGCTCGAGTTCGAGTTTGATAAGACTCGGCTCATTGGCTCATAAGCTTACTCAATTAAGTAAATATTTAAGGGAAAAAAATAATCTTATTTATTAATTTATATTATTTAGAAGAAAAATCACTTTTTATTAAATTATATGTATTTAGATTTTTTTAAAAAGTTGTAGTATTTCACAAAAAAAAATTTACTGCAAAAAGCTTATTGCATTTAATGTCATAAATGTATCTGCCCTACTGCTTTTTCTCCCAAAACAATAAAAAAAATAAAAACCTTGGCTTCCACGCTGCTGCTATTATCACTTAAAAAAGCTCTTTCTTCTTCGATACTTGCTTCCAATGGGCCAATGACCGACAAGCCGAGGTTCTTCGGCGCTTCATCTTCTGCAGTGATTTCCATTTTGCATAAAGAAAATCGATTATTTCATAATTTGCTTAAAGTTGTTTTTAATTCCTCCAAGCTTCCTCTAGTTTATGTATGGTTAAAACCTAGTATGATATAGAGCCTCGACTGAGTAGAAGGAATAATTAGATGTTTTGAAAGGTAATCTTTCCATGCATAGACATATGATGGTTAGGGTTATGGGATCTTAAGGAAATAGTAAAATTGTAGGTAGGAGGAATCATAGCTAATACTCCAATGAGCTCGACAAAGACGAGAAGTACTTATGTTTTGCTCACAACAATATCAGGAAGAAATCTCTCTATTGCAAACATGTGTTTTTAAATATTATAGGTTCAAATTAATATATATATTGTCTTTATCTTTTGCAATTGTAGTGTTTTACTTTTCATTGAATCACCCTTTTTCATTTTCTAACAAAATAAATATAGTAATTTTAGTAAACAACAATAGAGTGAGCTTCAAATAATTCCAAATCCTCGTGGGAACAATACTCATCTCATCATTTTATTACTTCACACGACATGTGCACTTGCATAGAATAGGAATTACATCTTAGAATAGTAAACAATAATTAATAGATCAAATAGTCTGTGGAAAAAGGTCTGTCATTAGCCAACATTTTTGGGGAGATATCATTCCTATTACTTATTACTTAATCTTGTGTTTCTACTTCTCTAAGCAGCACTACTCTATTCCGACTACTTAATCCTCAAAAAGGATATTTTTCATCAGTTTTAGTTGCATTTGTTTTATACATTGTCTTCACTCAGGCCATGATATTTTTGTTTAATTTTTTTCCCAAATGGGTGTGGTTGATTATTTTAAGGCTTCATTTAGTTTCTACTTTCTACCTACTTGTGTGAAAAAAAAACAGCCAGCAAAATGCAAGACCAGTCTGGATGAAAAATCATACAATTTTCCACTTTGTTTTCTCATAATTTGCCATGGAAATTTGATTTTTGAAAAGCAGGATAGAAATTATGTTTGAGAAAACAGCTTCAAAAATTTCTAATAACAAAAATAGAAAAGCATAAGCCACGCAAAACAAAGCCTTATACTTGTGGAGCTTATTGACTTGCTCTTTTACTTACCATTCAATTGCAACATACTAGTAGGGGCCTATCTACCTCTTCTTGGCACAGACAAATTTAGTTTTAAAAAGTGTTGCAGAATCTAACCTGCAAGCGTTCAATATGGCAGAGAATGTCACAACATTAGGCTTCACTCGTTGTTGTATCATCCTCTGAAACAATCCCAAAATGCAGAACAAGTCCTCAGATTTCTTCGTTGCTACATCCACCATAGGCTGAATAATATCTTTGGTCAGATTTCCAAAGATCCTAACAATTTGATTGCAATTTGCCTTACCTCCTGCCATCCCATTCCCAATACCCCCCTCAACAAAAAACCTCGACTTTCCAAAACCATCAATAATGGTATTATAAGTTACTACATTTGGTTCAATGCCAATCTGTTGCATCTCATCAAGCAACCACACTGCACACTTCACCAAGCCATTCTTAGCCAGCACATCTATAAAAGAGCTGTATAAAACTACATCAGCTTTCAACCCAGATTCCTTGAAGTCAAAGAACACATTAGCAGCATCTTCATACATACCAGCCTTTGAATAGATATCCATTAAAGTTGAGTAAGTTAATACATTTGAGGCAACCCCCTTCTCCCTCATATCCCGAATCAAATAACTTACAATATCAAATCTCCCTTGCTTCCCATACCCAGTTATCAAAGAATTGTAAGTAATTATGTCCTTATCTATACCTATAACTTCCATCTCCTCACAAACTCTTGTAATATCCTCATACCTTCCAGATTTCACATAGATAGAAAGCAATGTATTGTAACACACCCGATCCAATTGAATACCCATAGACTTCATCTCCATATATAAATTAAGGGCTTCGTCATGTCTCTCCAACTTGGCATATCCATCCATCAGGGTGCTGTAAGTAACAACATTTGGCTGGATATAACTGCTTAGCATGTCGGGAATAACCTCAACGGCAAATTTCATATTCCCACCCTTGCAAAGCACATCGATGAACGTGTTGTAAGTGTAGATATCTCGACCAATACCGAGATCAATCATTTCATCAAACAGAATGCGTGCATCCTCAAGCCGTCCAGCATGGCTGCAACCGGCGAGAAGAGAATTGAATGTCTTCCTATCAGGACAAATTCCATTTTGAAGCATCTCTCGAAAGAATCCAACAGTGATTTCAAGGTCTACACCTCCTTTCCCACATGCATCAATCACAGCATTATATGAAATATTATTTGGTCTAACACCCGATGCCTTCATCAAAGAAAAAACTGACATAGCCTCAGAGGACAGCCCATTCCGAGCATAAGCTGAGATAAGTGCAGAATAAGCATAGACTGTGTTGCCAAAACCTTGGGATAAACCAAAATCAAAAACCTGCCTTGCAAGATCATGCCTACCCAACTTGCCAAGGATTCCAATGACAGCGGTGAGGAGCTTGCCTTTCTCTGTGGAATTTCGCATCAAAGGTATTGAAGCATGGAAGAAAGCAAGCGCCTTTGGGGGGCATTTATCCCTATTACCAAGCTCGTGGAGCACAAAACAGTAATCTTCAGGGATTTTAAGCTTATGTTGGAATGAGCCAAGGATACCTTTGAGACCCTGGATATCATCCAGGCTTGAACAGAGAAGCCTGGCAGTGATGTCCACAGCTGCAGCAGATGCGCTGCGGGTTTGAGAAAAGTAGGTCCTTGGAGAAGAAAGATTTCTCTTTGAGATAACTTTGGTAGTTCGGCTTCGTCGGAATTCCGGGCCAAGCAAAGGCAGAGAAAGATGATGACTTTGTAGACTAGTGGAAGAGGAAGGTGTCAGGAATTTACCATGGGCAGAGCTAGCACTATTATAGGAAGAGCTACTAAGCATAGAAGGAGAGGACTGAAGCCTATGGGGTCTCTTTTGTTGCTTATGGAGATGGCTCTTGGGATTTGGATGAGGGCTTTGGTGGGGTTTCGAAGTGTTTATGGAGTATGGAGGAGTAGAGGAAGCCATCAGTATTGGTTTTGAGAACAGAGAAATTAAAAAAACTACCTCAGAAGCGAATCGATGATGGTGAGGAGGTAACTAAAAAATCAAATAGAAGATGACTTCACAGATTAGGAGTCAAAATGTCATTTTGGCGTAGCGGGAGTTCGAAATTTGTACAAAGAAGGCTTCATCAGGAACTGCGGAGTGGCATAAAAGAAACGGGGAAGAATAATAGCGTGGGATGAAGGTATGAGTGGTAGCATCATGAAGAGCGAAGGGTTCGGTGAGAAGAAGATTGTTTCCGGACCGGTGGAGAGGATAAGAAAGTTGGAGAAAGAAGTACAACGAAGCATAGATAATAGGTTAGAGCATTAGCTTCTTGGAGAAGGTAAGGCTATTAAGGAGTACTGAGCATAAAAAATAAATATATAAATGATTCGAGTTCTACTAGGAGTGAACTAAAGTTTGCATCATCAATTAAAAAGTGGCTCGACCTTTAAACTCGAAATAAAGTCTCAATAGAAGCTCATTGGAGAAGGATCCCCAAAGAAAAATTGTAGCGGGAGCTGACTAGAGAGGTCATCTAGGAGACCGCCCACTAGACTTGAGAAGAAGAGCAAGTCGCAAGCTCTTTATGAGAGCTTGTTGGAGAAAGAATGATGTTGCTAGCAATCTCAAAGAAGATTTGATATGCAAATTAATCAATGAGATGGGCTCAAGAGTTATAAATAATGATAAATTAATGGAAACGAAATTAATGATATATATAAGGTAGATAAGAAGGTGTTATGGGTCTCCTAAAGGATGTTGCTCATCGGGTTCAAAATGCAAAGGCTATGATCGCACTATCTCGTATGATAAAATAGTCGCATAACTTTATACTCTGCACAAGCAGATCAATGGAAGAGAAGATAAAATCATACATATGATTATCCATGGAAAATAGTGGCTTTCACCTACACATCTCGATGGATGGCTCGATAGTCACGTGATTTATCACTTCAATAAATTAGCTTGAATGAAGTTTATTTGATATGGGTGTTAGTTCCCCATGGGTGCAAGCCCCTATTGTTAATTAAAACTTAGTCATCAATCTAATAATACTCTCAATTAAGAATGCTATATTATTCTCTTTTTTGTTTGGTGCATAATGAGATTCCGAGGTTCTTCTATTTTTAAGGGGATAAGCTCTTTTCTTTATCTTTAGTGAGAATTAGTTGTTTTTTTTTTAATATATGAATATTTGATTAAAATTTTTAATTTAGAAGATCAAAGATTTATTTACTATCCTAAGAGAAATTATAGATTTAAAATTCATTCAGGATTTAGTGGAGACAAGTTGAGTAGTGTACAATCTTAGCTTATATTTGCCTATAGTGAGTTGTCATTTAACATCGTAAATATAATTAATCATCTTATGTACGTAAGATAAGAGGGCTCTATCCTAAGGTGTCAAGAATTTTAATCTTGAATTTCAAATCATGGATATATAAAATATGCAAATGCATCTACTTAGCACCCTGTGTGATGATACATGAAATAAATGCATAAATATAAATCTTTTATTCATTTGTTTGGGAACATAAATATAACATGGGGTCTGCAAGAAAGCAAGGTGCCAAGCTCCACCACAACAACTATGATTTTTTTACATATATGCAAGGAATATGTCTAAATGTGATTGTTTATTATTTTATGGCTCTAAGTATACATTATAGAATTCCAAAAGAGAAAACCATTCCAAGAATAAGAGGTTTTCTTTTGGAGCCCAATATGTATGTACAAGCAGTTACATTTAGCCTTTTATAACTTCTTAAAATTGAAATATATAAATATATAATGAGCACTTTACAATTTATATATAGTCCTAGATACATTATATTTTGAATATTTTATTACAAGCATCATATGTACATTCTACTTTGACATTTTATTTAAGCAGCAGTGATATGATGTGCATGCATGCAAAATGTACCGTGAAGTTAGGTGTATAACATACATTTATGACATCTAGAATACATAAAGCAAACACACATATTAAGGGTACCCTAAAGGCAAAGATACCCATATCAAACAATATAAACAACTACCTAGCCTAAAATAGGAGTTAGTGGCCCTAAAAATAAGTTATATTGAGTGAAAAATGAGGTGTGTATTTGATATATCATAGGGGATTTGATATTTAAGTTATTTAAGTTTGAACTTATCTATTGGTTATAGGTCAAGTGATATTTTAATTTAAGTTTAAAATTTAATATTTTAAAATTTTATTAATGTCTTTAAGATTTATCAATAATTTATTAAGTTACTTAAAAGAAAAGCCTTATTTAGAGTTAAATATAATACATAAAATTATCTTGTTATTTAAAATTGATTAAAGGAATTTTAAACCCAATACTAATATGCCCTCTAAAAGAATCAAACACAAAACATGAAAAGTCCTTTAGTTAGTTGTTTAATATTTAATTAATAAATTTATTTGATTAAGTTAAATTTAATTATGTTAATTATGGAATCTTATTTTATTTAAGATGATTAAAATTGGATTATCGTTCACTAATTTTTATTTACTTTATTTATTTTTTAATGATTTATCTTGGTTTTTTTAATCAAATTTTAATTAACAAGTTAGAATTATTTAAGTTTAATTGTTTGATTTATTTTACTTTCATGTTAATTCTTACTGATATTTATTTATTTATTTAATTCTAATTTATTTAAGTTTTATTATTAATTTATTGAATTTAAATCCATTAATAGCTTTTATTTATTAAAGCTTGATAAATTTGATTTAATTGTGTTTAATTATCTTATTTTTATTTTTCATTAACATATTTATTTTATTATACACATTAAGATTTATGAAAATCAAAGAACTAATTTTCTAAATGTGAGTGATAAATCAAGACTAGGCAACCCTAAGTTTGTCACTAATGAATAAGGTTCTTCTCACTAACGGGTTAGTGGATTTGGAAAATTAAATGCATGATGATAGCGAGATTATCAAATTAAATTGCATAGAAACTTAATTAGAATTATCTTCAATAGAGACGTAGAAATTTTGCAAATTTCAATTTCACATAGCTATATCAAATTAAATATTTCTTATGGTGATAGTGAGATTAACTTTGATTAATATCTAGGGCAATTTTTCGGAACGAGCTTTTTTTTTTTTTTTTTTTTGTCAATTTTAGCGGAAGCAGCGCGATGAAGGAGAAATTTAAGGAGCGAATTCGCCAAACACTTTGGCGCATGAATTGAATGTGCGGTCAGGTTCGGCGCATTCAAAGAATGCGCCGAACCTATTGGCGCATTCAAAGAATGCGCCATTTACATAAGCGCATTTTTCTTTGGCAGAATCTGCAGAGCAACCGTGTGGAATCCCCCTCCACACTCCCTTGGGTCCCCCCTCACAGGATCTTCTCCCTCTCTCAGACTTCACCAGTTCCCCACTCCCTTTCAAGCTTTCTCTTCAAGTTTCCCCCACAAGAACGAATCTATAATGACTGCCAAAGACACTTACAAAGTGCCTTTTCATAGCTTAAATAGAAGAGCTAAAAACGAGCTCATTAATGCAAGTTGCCGGCTTTATCATCATGGCCGATTAGTTCAAATATGAGGAAAATCATCCTGAATATCGCCCTGAAATGAAGCTGGCCGATGTCTAATAGGCCCGGACGATCTTGCAATCGGCCGGGCGAAATCACCATTAATTGCTTTCCAAAATTGCCAGAGAAATTTTGTAAAAATTGTCCTGGATCGTCCTGGCCGATATTTTATAGTCCAGGCCGATGCACCAGACTGATATCCAAAAATAAGAATTTCCTAAGTAGATCTGACGACATATTCTTTCTGAATTGAGCCTATCGTCCTGGTTGATACAAAATCGTCCAGGACGATGTGTTTTGCATAATGACGGCTGCTTTAATGAGCATGCCCTAATTAGGGTTTCTACTTTTGAATAGATCGTCCGGCCGATATAAATATCGTCCAGGATGATGTTACCAAAAACAGTAAACTCTAGTGAACAGTCAGAAACTCTTATACGTTACAAGGCATTATGAGCCACAACAAATATAATAGACTCAAGAAAGGAAAAAGTGTACAAACTGACTCAGACCTAGTCTACCCAATCTTGAGCTGGTTCTAATTTGCAGTCCGATCGTGTGAACCTAAAATGTCAGTACATAAGGCAGTCGTACAGAAATAAAAATGTTTGCTATCATCAAAATCATAAACCATTGATCCGCAACAGTGGTGGTTCGATGGATCAACGACGTCAGGTGGTGGTCAGGCGGAGGTGAGGGCCTTAAGTAGTGGTTTGGTGGAGCAACGACGTCAGGCGGTGGTCTGGCAGAGGTGAGGGACTCAAGTGGTGGTTTGGCGGAGCAACAACGTCAGACGGTGGTCCGGCGGAGGTGAGGATCTTAAGTGGTGGTCCGGCGGAGCAACGGCGTCAAGAGGTGGTCCGGCAGAGGTGAGGGCCTTAAGTGGTGGTCTGGTAGAGCAATGGCATCAGACGGTGGTCCGGTAGAGGTGAGGGTCTTAAGTGGTGGTCCAGCGAAGCAATGACGTCAGGCGGTGGTTCGGCGGAGGTGGGGGCCTCAAGAGGTGGTTTGGCTAAGTAACGGCGTCAGGCGGTGGTCCGGCGGAGGTGAGGGCCTCAAGTGGTGGTTCAGCGGAGCAACGACGTCAGGCGGTGGTCCGGCGGATGTGACGGCCTTAAGTGGTGGTTCGGCGGAGCAACGGCGTAAGGCGAAGGTCCGACGGTGGTCTGGCGAAACTCCGGCGGTGGTTGAGGAGGAGCTTCTTCCTTCTCTTCTCTTCTTGCTCCAGTCCTCTTTCAAGAGGAATGAGGGGTCTATTTAAAGATTTTCTAGAGTGGCATAACCTGTAAATAGATGAGAGATCATGGGTAAATGTTTAGTGGTTGGATGGACGACCGATATTGAATCCCTTCATCATATACCGTTCGTCAGACATTGGAAAGCCCTAATGATGTCGGAATTCATCAATCTTGGGCTTGTTCGATTCGTTTCGTTGAGCCGCTCGATTCAACTATAAGCTTGATATATTTGAAAAATGTTTGGTAATCCAAATTGTGGTTTGAACCTTCCAACAACGCTTCGAGTCCTTGATTTGGACCTATTGGGTTGAATTTGGTGTCGTTGAGTTTGTATTTCCATGACGCTCGGTTTGACTATAAGTTTGTTGAAATCGGAGTTGAGATGATCTCCAACTTAATTTTGGAAGTTTCCAACTTGATTTTGCATCGAGATTCGTGCCCGATCAAGACAATTTTTTGGAGGACGTATCAAATATATAATGGACGTATGTGACTGCCTTATTTATTTGAGTTAAAATAAAATAAATGCATCGTAAAATTTAAAAAATATTGAGGCGGCCCTTGGCTGATGGCAATAGTAGTGGGCGATGGGCAGCAACAGTGGTGGCATTCGACTACGGTGAGCAGTGCCAACAACAACAACAACAACATCATCAAGCCTTTATCCCACCATGTGGGGTCGGCTACATGAACCCTTTTTCTCCATTGTGTCCTATTAAAGGTCAAATTCTCGTTTAAATCTAATAAAGAAAGGTCATTCCTAATATTTTCTAACCAAGTCTTTTTAGGTCCGCCTCTACCTCTCTTAACATAAGTCAAATCTAATACCTCTACTCTCTTAACCGGGTCATTGGAAGGCTGCCGTTTTATGTGACCAAACCATCTAAGGCGACTCTCTCTTATCTTATCTTCTACTGGAGTTACTCCAACCTCTTCATGTATATGCTCATTTCGTATCCTATCTTTAAGGATAAAGCCACTCATCCACCTGAGCATCCTCATTTATGCCACACCTAACTTAGTATTATGCTTCTCTTTTAATGACCAACATTCAGCACCATAAAGTATTGCAGGCCTTACTACCATCTTATAAAATTTTTCCTTAATTTTGAGGGGTACTTTTCTATCACACAACAAGCCCAATGCATTTCTCCACTTCAACTATCCAACTTAAATTCTGCTGATAATATCCCCATCTATTTCACCATCACTCTAAAGTCTGAACAATAGATCTAAGATATCTAAAACATGTACTCTTATTATGACTTGATCGCCCAAAGTCACAATCCCCTCACTAGGTCTATTACTACTAAAATTACACTCCATATATTCCGTTTTAGATCTATTAAAATTACACTCCATATACGGTGAGCAATGCCAATGATAAAAAAATTTACAGTGCATTTAAAAATCAAGCAAATATAATACTTTTTAAATATATAAATATTAAATTAAAAAATAAATTCTAAATTTATCAAAAAATTTATTATGCAATTTTTAGAAAAATCAAATATTAAAACTCCTTGACTTCTATAAAATTTTCGTTCAATTTTCGGCATACCAAACGCTCCATAATAACTTTGAAGCGTTCAACTTATATCAGAGATTAAATTAGGAGTTGGAACACGAATTAGGGTTTAGTGACTATTATACGATTGGGATTCGAGTCTAAAGCCCTACGTTTTGCTTGAAGAATTTTCTCGTGCCAGATAGGTCTTCCCGGATTGGAGCATGAGCGGGCTTTCGAACTTCTTCTCCGTCCTTAATTTGGACGCAGAAGACGATAAGGAGCAGATTGCCATCCCGAATGCTGTATCCGCCATTGATGAAAGCTCTGGGCGAATATCTGGTAAGAAGAGATGTTTTATAAAATTGTGTTTATTGATCTCGTTGAAGGAACTTTTGCTACGCGCTGCTGAGCACACATTTATTTGGTTGAACAATGTTATAGTGAGATAGCTAACTTATAATGACGAACCTTAATTACTTGTTCAATTTTCCGTTTTTCAAGCATATGAATCGCTAAATTTTAATTGCACTTGTAAGAACTCTATTACCAGCATCATATGCTTCAGGGGCATTTTGACTTGCTAAATATACTTTGTATGTATTTTGAGAAGGGAATACATAAAAATATTGGCTTATTTGGTATCCTATTTTAGGAAGGATTTAAGTGAGATTTAACATAAATCTTGCCAAACAGAATTTTATAGATTTCAAATCCTATCCTATTGTTTTGATAAGTCTCATTTCGCTCATTTTATTGATTAAATCCAAGATTTGTTAAATCATTCCAGTGACAGGATTCAATGGATTTAAGGATTTATTACTCTTTCAAATCTTAAATCCAGGAACGAACAACAAACAATTTATATGGATTTAGCAATATTTAAAATTTGTCATGCCAAACAATTTTTTTATTTTAGTCCTCTCAAGGTTTACTAAATCCTAATTGATTTAAATTCTACTCGTTGAAAAACAGCCCCGTAAAACAAATTCAGCACTTTTTTAGCAAGATGTATACACAAATGAAACTTGTTTAGCTTATTTTTAGTTTTCTGAATCTATAATATTCATAAACAGGGCTATTCAATCATGAGAAATCTAACTTTTCATTTACCACCTAAATAACTTTATTTTCTTTGGAGTAGTTTAACTTGTTATTGCATTTCTTGTGATATCCATATACTAAATATGAATGTATGGAAAATTCACAAAACACAAAAAACCCTTTGAAGTTGTACCTTAACTTAATTTCTGCAACTTATCTTGTGGCAGGTGATGGTGATGAACATACCGGTGAATTAACAGTGAAAAGAGCTCCTTCTAAAAGTCATAAATCTAACAATAAGGTTCTTCAATTATCATCATCATTATCAGGAAACTATAAACTACCTTTGGTATGGATTGACTTGGAAATGACAGGTTGGGAATCAATATTTGCATTATGTTGGCAATTTTTTTTCTTGTTAGGAGAATATTTTAATTTGATTTTTAAAAGCATCCTAAAGTTTTATACTTATAAATTAGATCTATAAATCTTAAATTCTAAAGCTCTACTATGATATGCTTTATAATTGCAATGCTTAGTTTTTATGTAAATTAATATGTAATTGAATCATATTTTTGCATATTAAAGTAGTTATTAAGTCATTGTAGTCTTTAAATATCATCTCCTTTAGGAGATTTGGTGTGCAACATGAAAAGAAAAATCTCCTTGTTTGAGATATTCTCCTTCATTTTCCTTCAACTTCTTTGAATCCTCCATTTTCTAGAGTTTATAGCAAGCTTGAAATTGTTATTTACTATTGTGATCCTTCGAGGTCATAAAAGTTGGTGTTCTTGTTGAGATACTCGTTATTGGTGCTCGTCAATTAGTATATCTCATCTCCATCGCTAGATTTTTTGCCCAGTTGACATCGACGCAACTACTCCCCTCCATACTTCTAGATACGTAGCCTAGTTTATCATTTCCACCATTAGGGTGTGGGTGTTGTTATCATTCCCACTATTGGGTGTTGTTATCATTCTATGTTATCATCCACTATTCCATCGGCCTCATCAAAGAAAAAACAAAATAAATTTAATCACATCCATTTGTCAATCTTGATCTCCTAACTAGATCTTGCGTTCGCTACCATTATCTCCATATTTGATAGATCTTTGCCTTTGGTTGCACATTGTCTCCACCAACCTGCACAATATTATTCTAGACTTCCGCCTTCTCTTCCCTATCTCTCACAAAGCTTCAAGATTCACCAACTCCATTGTCTCCCACACCACCAAACTTGCTTCCGCGACTCTCGTAGTCACCTCCGCATAATTTTTGTCGAACTCCTCTTGTCGAAATCCCCACTATGCTGCTATTCCTAGATCATACACGCCTTTTTTTTCCTTCCTAATTCTTCACTCTGGCATCGTTTACATAGAGTTTCAAGCCCTATGACGACATTTCAAACCACAAGATCTCTCTATCTCCAATTATCCCTCATCAAATTTGTGGCAACCTCATTTGTCATGATCTACTTCTCTTGCCATTTGTCATGCTCTGATCTACTTCTCTTGCCATTTGAATCTACATCTCTTGCCTCCATCTAAAATTAGCTAGGTTTTGGCACATAGCTCGATCCTTATTGGGCTTTTGACATAACTTGATCCTTGTTTGATGAAATGCCTCTTAAGAGCAACAACAACTAAAATTAGTTCAACAATCAATGAATCGAACTGCTTTGACAAAATTGACCAAAAACTTGGTGAGAATTGGGAGTATATATGCATCATTAATTGACGACTTATTGGGCTCAAATTCAAGTTTGAGTGACAATTGAATCTCAGGTCCAACTTTTCTGAAAGGAGCATTCAAAAGTTAGCCGTATTATACACATTCAGGCCACGACATGCAACTTTTTAGTACAAAAATGAAAAGCTAATAACTTGTGATGCATTCAGGTTATTAACAAATGACAAGCATTGCTTGAGTCCCTTATGTGATTCAATCGGTCATCAACTCCTTCTTGCCTACACCAGTAGTCCAATCCACAATCTAAAAACTTGCTCGTGCTCTTTGCTTGATTCAACTTGAGATCCAAACATCTGTTCAAACTCATTGTTTGATTCAAATGAACGTCAAAGTCCCCTCTCTTGCTCCACAACTACAGTTTTCTATTGTCCACAAGTTTTGAAGATATTCCTAGCATGCCCCAACTAACTCCGATCACATTAGAGCAATTGTAAGAACCAATTGAAAGGGTGGTTACACATTAATTGCCACTTCGTTATTATTGTAAGTGTAGCTTGATAGGCCGCCCACCCTCCTATACTTTCGCCATGGTTTGCCTCAACATTCCATGACCTAAAAATACTGACGGAGGTGGATTTATCTGGTTTTTATATGATTTGACGTTGAGGGCAAGGTCGGTTTTTAAGGGGTGAATAATTTTATTGACCCGCGAAGGATTGCAACAATAAACGATGATTTCTAGCTCGTTGGAAACAAAAAAAAAATGCAGGCTTGAGAGAAGGTGGAGGAAGAAGAAGAAGAATATCGCATACAAGGAAAATTTTCATTTCATTTTCATGCCAAGTACTCCTAAAGAGGAGATATTTCAAGACTACAATGACTCATTAACTATATAATAAACAAGCATGACTGAATAACACATTAACCCACTCATAAATTACTTGTTACAATTTTAAGTCATAGCATATTGCACTTGCTAGATTTAGATATACATCCAAACATAACTTTGAAATAATAGGAGAGACCATGGCAGGAATTATTGAACAAATATGCATGATAAGGAGTGGATGGAGTTATTGCTTATCAATTATGAAGGAAGCATGTGGACCCAAGCAAACAGAACTAGATTTTGTGCTAGAAAGCTTACAAAAATAGAGTTAACACCTTGTTCATCATTCATTGGGATTGAATGTAGATTAAAGATTTATATAGCGACCATACTTGTTAATGGCGAATGGCGAACCACGACACAAAGTTCCCTGTGGAGCTATGGTGCACAGCGCATTGTTAGGCGCATGCCATTTTAAACATGGTACACAATATATATAATACCATTAATAGCAAACAATAGGTTGATTTGGGCAATTTAATTATAAACATCCTTCAAAGCATGAAAAATGATAAATTTAAATTCTGAAGAAACTTACATCAATAGATTTGAACAGGATTTAAGCATAATTTAGCCCAAATCATGTCAAATAGCAAAAATGACAACTTTAAATCCAACAAAAAGTTGAATCATTTATTTTTTTTTTATATTTAATTTATTTGATGTTTAATGGATTAATAAATAATTATGATATTAATATAAAACTTAAAAATTAATTATATTTTATAACATGTTAACAAAATTTCACGTGCTATTTGTGTCTTGTTCCATGAACCATTGCCCATGCATGGTGCAAAATAGCACGCGCTATTTTGATGTGTTGTGTCGTGCAAAGAAAATAATGTCGTATGTGCGTCACGTCGTACCGTGCATCATGACGCACGCAATTTTGCGCCATTGACATGTATGATAACGACTTTAAACAATCGGGTTAAGGCTAGTGGTTCTGTTATAATGTTGATCCACAATGTATTTACATTATCAAACATAACACGTTCATTACACTGAAATTTTCAGTTTTGCTTGCAGCGTAGTTAGGTCTTTTTATATATATCTCTATTAAGGAAATACTCTTCCAACTATTCTTACTTTGATGGAGCCATCATCAAAGTCTTAAAAAATAGTATTTTCTTACACATACATAGCAGATAAACATGAAAGTCTTGTGCACTGAGCGTCATGGAATTCCTAATACATCATAGAAAACATTCGTTTTGGTGAGCCAAATATACTGAAGAATTAGTCATTCCCTCTCAAACAACTTTTTCGTGTTACACAATAGACAAAGCTTTTAAGAAATTTTTATCATAGAATGGCATACGCACAGTGTCCTACTTTTAGTAATTATAGTGAGAACTAGAGTTGACAATTTACCCGTCATGCCTTTTGTCATTTACAAACCTCTACATACATATTTCATAATATCATACTCTTGCTTTCGGGTTCTTTGAAGTGGATTCATCTCTCTTGCTTAAGCACCTTGTTACCACCGCTGACTTCTCATTCATTCACTTTTTTGACATCTCATCCAAACAACACCACCACCGTAACATTAGGTTTTATCTTTACTATAAATCAAACACCATGCATAGGGAAAACTTCAATAGGACAACTTAATGATCCATGATGATGGGATTTGATTTATAGAAGCAACTTTAAATAAGAGATACAATTAAAAGTCCCTTTCTAAATTTTGTTATATATTTTTAATTTAATAACTTTAGACGGGAGGGGATTTACTGTATATGGTGATGGCAAAATACTGCATGGAATTGCATTAAGTACAGATGTGCTGGTGGATATTAGTAAGCAAAAAAAACAGCGTAAGGACTTGGAACATGTGCTCTTCGTTGTTTTTTAATGCAAAACCCAAAATATAGTAAGGAAATCAATGAGCCCATTAGCACCAACAAATAAAATGGCGCCTCACACAATCGTGAGCAACATTAATAGGAGCCAACAAATCCTATCAAAACATTAGGGCATTTGGGATGGGGGATGTGGGAGGTTGGTACTCAACGAAGCTTATATTTGTATCTATTATGTATTTACGTGATAAAATCTAAAAAAGGATTCATATAGCCGACCCCATGTAATGGGATAAAGGCTTGATGTTGTTGTTGTTGTTGATGTATTTACATGATAAAATCTAGAAAGAAGTAGCAAGCATCTAAAATAGATTGTGATTAAATATGCAGCAAAAATAAGAACATGAATTATAAACAAGGTTTAAAATTGCGCAATTAGGTATTGAGTTATTTTTTGTTCGTAAGGTGAGGCTTAAGGCTCAAGGCATTTTAAGGCGTAAGCCTTAGAATAAAAAAAAAAAATATTTGTTATCTGCATAAAGATGAGATTAATATTATAAAATTTTTAGATGGGGTAGTGATGTGCGGCTTTCAAGGGATCCTTGACAACGACTATAACGGTGGTGGCTGTGGTGAAGGCGATGGGCTGGAGGTTGAGATAGTCGAGAGGAAGTTGTTGCGACTCGGGAGTGTATTAAGGCATGATTTGTTCGGGCTTTACTTTAGCATTTAAATAAAATAAATAATAAATAAATATATATATATATATACACACACACATGGCACATACTCACACACACACGCTAGCAAGGCAATGCGTGTCTCAACCAAGCTGAGGCGCATGCCTCATAAAAAAAACTCAAAACGCAAACCTCATAAAAAAACTCGCATAAGCCTTGAGACGTTTTTCACTAGAATTGTGTTGATGCAGCCTCAAGACGAGCCTCATATTGCGCAATTTTAAACAATAATTGTAAATTCCGCATAA